ACAGTCTAGCCCACTTCTGTAAGTTTAATATGAGGAAATATCCATGGCAAGAATTCAGAGAAGTAACTTTGGCTAATCCAAAATTAAGAATCTAGAGCCCCAAATATAACTTAGTGTTTGTTGTTCTTTGCCCTATGACTTTTTAGAAGCTAACAAATGTTTGGTGAGCTCTGTAATACAAGAACTCAAAATAGATGCAACATAATAATTTAACACTCCTTTAGCTCTTTTGATGTCTATGATCAATTTAGTCAAAGGTCATGTTCAATAGCCAAAGGCTGTATTAAATATGTGCAGCTGTTTGTTATGACTATTGTCTGAAATCATGCTTTAAAAATGCATTTCAATATAAATGAAATGAGCTATTATAAACAAACTTTGAAGGGGAAATCTAAAATACTAACAGTAGGAGAAATTTCGATTTGTAAAATTTTACTATGTAATATGTAATGTTAAACATAAAGTCTAGCTAAATGGCAATTAAGTACCTGTGATAATACTTAAAACCTCAAAGCTTATACTATCATTAATCTCCGATTGTGTTTCATTAAAGAACCAACTTCTTAATTGGTGCCTAAAATATATGCAAATTAAATGTCTGAATGAAATGTGAAAAGGAATCACGGAAACTTGTACAGTTTGAGTTGGCAACATTAAAAATGACCTCAATAAACAGAGAACAAATGGCAATCTGCAATTTTAAAAAGATGAATAAGATAACTCTCTTTACTGAAATAACTGTACTCTTCAGGGAAAAAATGGCATAAACAAACAGAACTGGAGATGAAGGAGATGATGATGTTTAGGTCAACTATAAGTAGTTATGCTAGAATCTTTCAGAATTAAGTTTGATTATTCATGGCTCTTGTCCCCTCACGTTTCTTCAATAAAGAAGAGGAAGGGAAGACTAAAAATTGTTTTGTGTACCATTTCAAAACTCATCCCCATCTGCTCACCTGCTGAAATCCTTCTCTGTCTCCAGCTCTTCTTCTCCATGACCAAGACGCAGCAGGTGGCGCTCATCAATGTCTAGAGCCATGATCTTCTCAAACAACTGGTTCAAGGCCTGGAGAATAAAACAAAAAGGATGACAGTGAATTTTAATGAACTGTCAGCCTCCTTTAAAAGTAACAAAAACCAGGGGGTGGACAGTGAATTTTAATGAACTGTCAGCCTCCTTTAAAAGTAACAAAAACCAGGGGTGCCTGGGTGGCTCAGTCGGTTGAGCGTCCGACTTCGGCTCAGGCTACGATCTCACAGCTCGTGCGTTCGAGCCCCGCGTCAGGCTCTGTGCTGACAGCTCGGATCCTGGAGCCTGCTTCAGATTCTGTGCCTCCCTCTCTCTCTGCCCCAACCAACTCACATTCTGTCTCTGTCTCTCTCAAAAATAAATAAACATTAAAAAAAATTATAAAAGTAACAAAAACCAACATTTAGAAGGACAGAAAAGAATGAACACTGCCTAGTCAGATAAGAATCAAATTCAAAACACAGAAGAAAACAAATCTTGTATTAGGTTACTTACAATGTAAACAAAATAGCATTTTTCTTGATTTCTGATATTGCTGCCTACACATACTTGGCCAAGTGAATGACTGAAAACCATAAAAACCATCTAACCACTAAATCTCTGCTTCCACTAATTTATGAAAGAAAGAAAAACTATGGATCAGTTTCTATTCTCCCCAAATAGTAACAATTACTGAAATAATTAATAAACACACCAAGATTTCACTCCATGGAATATCCATGGGTTGTAGAAAACTGAAACATTTTTGCAGCTGGAAAAGGACTCTCAGGCAGTGAGTGTGTAGAGAGAATATGTCAAGAGGACCACATAAGGGGAAGGTAAATTGCATCATTCAAATCTTAGGCCAAAGGTCTGAAGTTCTCTACACAACAATGAACAGAGCACTCATTAATTGCAAACTATGCTGATGGAGGCCATCTAGAAGCACTCCTTTCTACCTATAAAATAGTCGCGTTTAGGGTTCCCTCGAATCTTAGTATCAATTACCTGAACATCTACAGTTACAACATTTTGTAGACAGGCAAGTTTCATAGTATGGAAAGATACATTAAGAAAGACATCATTTAAAACTCAGCCAAATGTCTTTCTTAATTTACCATCACTCTAACCCTACCCATAAGCCAACATCCAGTTTCATAATGTAAATACAGATATCTTTTGCTATCAAAACTCTAACAATTAGAGCTCAGATTGAAGAAATGAACATAAATTTTCAGAAAAAAAATTCCCCAATATTCAAACTCTTGATGCTCTCCATCCAAAACCTGAGATCCAATGGATCAGACCACATAGCATTCATCACTAACTAGCCAAACTCAGAAACCACAAAGATTTAGAGAACAAAAAATACTATCACACTGCACTCAAAAAACCCTGCAAGATCTCATTATGAATTAAAGTAATACTGAAGAACTGCTTGCATTAAGTATGCAGATGAAGATCTGACAAATGAAAAGCAACAAATCAACAACTGATATCAAGGATGATATGATTATCAAAGATCATTAGCAAACAATGAAGTCTTTGGCTACATCTATAAAACAACCTTCTCTATAATTGTACTATACAAGTCAATCATGAGTAGAAGAGTCTACAGAAAGTCATTATCAGGTTATGACAAAACTTACTAAAAATACTGTTAAAACAACAACACATGAATTATTCTTTATTCATTCTGAGTCTGGAAAGAGGTAAGATTATTACAGACTAAATTTCATTAAATAGAAGAAAAACGGCATACATAATTTGTAATTACATAATTTGTTTCTTTTATTAAGCTTCAGTCAGCTTTCTCCCCTGCACAATTTTAATATACTGTACAATAATGTCACCATTACTTACAAACTTCAAAGATATAAAAACAAGTGAATGAATTGGATAGCATTAATTTTAAAAACCTATAGACTAAAAGTTGACAAATAATAGAGTAAGTGACATTTAGCATTCTAAAAATCCAGTGCTTCTTTGTAGACCAACTCTTAAAGAAGTGGTCAACTGAAATCACCCTTTAGAGAACCATAAGTACCTTTAGAGGTTAGACTATACTGCACGTTTTATGATGCTCTGAGAGCTTCCTGTTACGTTTTACAGAAAAGCTAGTAAAGGCTAGGTGTCTTACTCATTTCTGTGACACTGAGATTTAAAAAAAACTACCACAGCACACACACAGATGTAAAGATCATTTTTCAGACAGTATTTATGTGAAAAAAGTTTGTTTTTATTACATTAACAGTTTATAAATGCCTTATGTATTGAATCTACAACATAAAATAGTCCTTCCATGTAATACAGATATTTATATGTAGACTTCATAATGATATAAAACTTCATCTAGTGTTGATACATTTAAGCCTTAGTCTTTTGGTAATATTCATTCTGCTAAAGGATGAAAAATGTTACCAGTAAGGGTTATTAATGCTTTTAATCTCAAAGTAAAAGCTTTAGCTTTGCATGGAAGACTGGGGGGAAGGGAGGCGTGTGGGGCAGAGGCAGCTTAATTTAATCCAAATGTTTGACCATATATCCAAGTATTCTTCTTAGCTTCCCACATTTTGACCCTCTTTATTAGAAATAAAAGATTGTTTTTATATTTTCCTCATATAATCTGGTCACGACCAGTAACAATCCAAGAGTTACTCAATAGGAAACACTATTTCAGTACTGTTGTCCCTATGATTGGGTTATCATACAAGTAGGAATCTCCATTGTGCCTTCATTCATCCCCCCACTCCTTCTTTACCTCCTCTACCATCCATCGTATCTACGCGTGTGCTCAGGGACACATACACACTTACCTGATTAGAATGAGTAACAATCAAAGTCCTCTGCTCTGGGAAATTATGGTAGATGTTGGATATGATCTGGACTGCCACATCTGTTTTTCCAGTACCTGGTGGACCCACAACCTAAACAGGAGATGAAAACACAGCAAACTACTAAGCTATCATACTGTTAGAAAACAGACATTCTAAAACTGAAAGAGAAATTTAAAAAACTGCCAGTTGAGTTTAGTAACAGAATGGACAAGAGAGTCAGTGAATCTGAAACAACAATAGAAATCACCCAACCTAAAAAATAAGCAAAAGAAAAGACTGAAAACAAATAAAGAAACAGAGCCTCATGAATCTATGGCACAATACTAAAAGGTCTACATTTATGTCACTTAAGTCTTAGAATAAGAGTAAAAAATATATAGTACAGAAAAAATATATGAAGAAACAGTGGCTGAAAACTTCTCAAATCTGGCAAAAGACCAAAATCTACAGATTCAGGAAGCTCAGCAAACTCCAAAGAGAATAATTCTGAAGAAATCCAAGCCCAGACACATCATAATTAAATAGCTGAAAACTGAAGAAAAATTCTTAATAGCAACCAGAAAAAACTGATGTATTTATGTATAGCAAAAGGATGTTTCAAATGACTATGGGTTTCTCTCACAAACTGCAGAAGCCAGAAGGAAGTGGAATAACATTTTGAAGAACTCCAGATTCTAGGTCCAAGTGAAAATATCTTTAAAGAATGAGGATGAAAGACATTCTCACATGAAGAAAAACAAAGATAATTCATTGCTAGCAGACCTGCTCTTAAAAGTGGTAAGAGTTTTTCAGACCGAAAGGAAGTGACATCAGAGAAAACTTAAAAATATCAGGAATGAAGGATAAACAGCAAATTTATAACAGCCTATTCATTTTTCTCTAGAATTTTTAAAATATGTTTGCTTTTCTAACATTGCCTGACGGTATTTTCAACGTATGTACGCGTAATACACATAACAACTCTGACATAAAAGGGAAAAGGGAAAGGGACCTACATGGAGGTAAAGATCCTCTATTCAACTTAAGAGACAAAATACTGATTCTAAGTAGACTGTGAAAAACTAAGTATTTACATTGTAATTCTCTAGACCAGCCACTAAGAAAAATCTGTGTAAGTGATACAAAAGAACACAATAGATAAATTAAAACGAAACACTAAAACTATCTAACCCAAAAGAAAGTTAAAAAAAAAAAAAGAGGAACAGGAACACAAAACAAAGGAAATAAAATAAATAATAAAGTGGTAGGTCTAAATCCAAACATATCAACTACATTTAATGTAAATGGTCCAAACACACTGATTAAAACACAGAGACTATCAGAATGAAGAAAATAACATAGCCCAACTACATGCTGTTTACAAGAAACTCACTTCAAATATAATATGTAGGTTAGAAATAAAATATGAGAAAAGGTGTATCATGTTAACACTAATCAAAAAACTGAAGTTGCTATATTAATATCAAAGTATATTTCAGGACAAAAAAAATTATCAGTGATTAAGAAAGACATTACATAATAAGAAATGCATCAATTCACCAAGAAGATATGATAACCTTGAATGTATATGTACCTATCCATAGAGCTTTAAAAAACATGAAGCAAAAACTGAAAGAATTGAAAGGAGAAATGGATAAATATGTAATTGTAGTTGGAGACTTCAATAATTCTCTTTCAGTAATCAACAGAAATAGTAGGTGGAATATCAGTAAGTACAGAGAAATACTGAATCAAATGAATCTGACATATATAGGACACTGCCCCCCAAAACAATAGAATAAACACTCATTTCAAGTGCACGTGAAATATTCACCAAGACAGATCATATCCTGGGCCACAAAACAAACGTGAGCAAATTAAAAAAACAAAAAATAGAAATCACACAACATATTTTCTCTGACCATAAAGGACTCAGAACAGAAATTAGTAAGTGGAACATAACAGGAAAATCTCTAAATACTTGGAAATTAAAGATAGTTTTAAATCAGTTGTCAGTAGGCTTCTTCTGTAAAGGGCCAGCAGGTAAACATTTCAGGCTTTGTAGGCCATACAATCTCTGCTGCAAGTATTTAAACTCTGCCGTTACAGCACAAAGCTGGACAGAGGCAATACGTAACCAAACAGGCATAGCTATATTCCAATAAAACTTTATTTATGAACACTGAAATAAGTACAAGGCAAAATGTCCATATGCAAACAATGCCACAATTACTTATGAACACTTAAATTCAGTTGTGTTTTTGTGCTTCAAATACAGTCTACACATTTGATGCTTATCTTATCCGAATCCACGTAAAAACATGTGGAACAATGCCTTTCTTACCATAGTTAGCCCAGGCTGCATTCCAGCACGGATGGCCTCTATCTGTGTGTGAGTGAACTGAATTGTATTACTACAAATAAGAGTAAATAAAAAGTTGGTTAAAAATACAGATGAACAACATTTAGTAAAAATTAGACAATAACTAGAAGTCCAAACGTCTGCTCTATATATGCCCCTGTTCTCACAATCCCTTCTTTTCCTCACCCCAGCCCTTCAAGTGAGTGAGTGTGTGTGTTGGAGGGGGGTAGGGTGGGTAGGTGGGTGTGCATGTATGTGGTAAAGAAAAAAAAATAATAACAGATCTACTCTCTTAACAAATTTTAACTGCATACTACAGTATCGTTAACTACAAGCACAATGTTGGATAGCAAATCTCGTACTTTTACATCTTACATGACTGAACCAGTCTCTTCTAAATGATTTCCTTCACTCCTACCCCTCTACAGACCAACTAAAACTGAGTGAATCTTACAGAAAGAAAAGACTACAGTTATTTTTCAATACACTTAGCCCAACCAATATCTCACTTGGAATGTCAAAGTTCCAATTCCCAATGTAATACCAAATATAATGCCAGTTTAATAGTCATGGCAAACATGCATGAGGGTAGCTGCTACATATAGCACATGCTCATGAAGTAAGAACGCTGTGCTCAAATTAAGGTAGCCCTCTAACACTTATTGTTCATAGGACCTGAAAATGTTTCTTTTGGAAATATGACTACAGAACGGCCAAAAATGTCTGAGCTATCTAGCTGACAGAATACAAGGAAAGAGGGTCCAGAAACCTAAGTTTCCTGGGATTTTTAAAGGATAAGTAAACTTTTAAACATTATTAATACAAAATAGCAAACTATTATTCATTATTACAATTAACATAGATAGTAAAATTACCGTTTGGGTTGGTTATAAGGATAAGGGCCCCTATTGGGAATGACATGAGGTTCAACAATTAAGGTTTTTGCCTCTTCGGAGTCTTCATCTTCACCATCTGTATCTTTCCTTTTCTTTCCTTTTCCACTCCTTACTGGAAAGGTTATCCTACAAGACCAAAATGTTTGTTCATTTTTACAATTAACAATTTACCAAGCACCTACCTTGTGCATGACATTGTATGGAGGATAATCAGATCAGAAAGAAACACTTATGGCTTAACGGAACTCACTATCTGTACACACATTCTGAAAAGAGCAGACATACAAGCACTAAAATGTGTGTTCATGGAGTTCAGATAAGAAAAAGTCAGCTGATCAAGGGAGAATCAAAGAAGCAGCATTTACATACTTATGTCCATGCACTGTAAGTGCTTTACACATTGTCCCTCCTTAAATCAGAAAAGACTTCATGGGAGGGATGGCATCAAAGATGAGTTTCAAAGAGCTTAGACATATAAACATGGGAGAGAAGCTAGTCTAGGAAGAAGTAAGACTATATACAGGTTTAAGTACCAGTGGCCAGTTTTGCCAGAATGGATACAATAGAGAAAACTAGACAGACAAGTTGGAGCCCTGTTATAACACTGTGGAATATCAAGCCTTTAAGGCAGATATACCAGTAAGGGTTAATACTTTCAATCTCAAAGTAAAAGCTTTAGCTTTCCATGGAAGACTGGGGGTGGAGAGGGGCATGTGGGGCAGAGTTCTTAGCTTGGGGTCAGGGATACCTCAGGAGGTGACTCTCCCTAGGCACCTGGGGAAATCAACAAATACCTTAAAATTAAACTAAAAAAACTAATTCTCTGTGTGCACCTTTTCCACACAAGAGAATTCAGGGAAGAGTGAGGAGTTGCATCAGGTTCTTTGTTCCATTTCTAGTCACAACTGAAAACCAAAGCCCCTTTAACATTACATATAACTATATTGCGAATATTTAAATTTTGTGAGTAAGAAAGCTTAAAAGAAAAACAATTTTTCCCTAAAAAAACAAAAGAAAGTTCAATATCCCATGGGTATGTCCATTAATTAGGAAACATACCAGATTATGCATAATTTGCAAAGACATATTTTTTTTAATGTTTGTTTATTTTGAGAGAGAGTGGGAGAGAAAAAGAGGGAACATACTGGTGTGAGTAGGGGAGAATCAGAGAGAGAATCCAAAGCAGGCTCCGCACTGTCAGCACAGATCCTGATGCAGGGCTCCATCTCACGAACTGTGAGATCATGACCTAAGCTGAAATCAAGAGCCACAAGCCCAACTGACTGAGCCACCCAGGCGCCCCATGTTTCTTCAGTCAAATGTTATAAATATGTTTATACAATACTCTTCAGACAACAAGCATTTACTGATCCCTTACTAGATGTGAGGCTACTTTTATTATGGGCTTAAAATAGTTGCTGTACTAAGAATGAGAAACAAGTCAAATAAAATAAATGTATCCCTGTCACTACATGGTGAAGGTAGAGTGCCCAAACAAAATCAAGACAGTCAAAATGTTAGCTGCAGTCTGATGGCCTATCTGAGGTTGGCTACCGAAAGCCTGAAAGGAATATATCCAGTGCTGACATTACCTGAAAGGTGGGATCTGCAGAGCTGGGTCATCCACAGTTACTTTGACATTATGACCAGGAAAGCTGCTTTTTAAATGGTCAATGGAAAGAAACGTATCATTGAAATCAAGAGTGGCAATCTGATTGGGCATTTTTGAATAATGTGCACTACTTGGATCCCCATAACCTAAAATGATGTCATGCAGCCAGTCAGGTACCACGCAATCAGTATTCATCAGGTTCCGAATGGTCTCCAGCACAGCCTGTCAGTGAAAGGAGAGAAAAGAGTTGTGTCAAGAAGACATCCCAAACATTTGCACTTCAGTGGAATGCAGAGCCGGCTGCACTAATCCAGAATTCCCGAGTGTTTCAAGGCAAGAAGCTATTTTCTGCTGACAGGTGCTTGGCTAGACTGAATCAACAGCTATATTTTCAGCTGATACCATACACTGAGTTAAACAAAAGACCAAACTTAGCGAGAACAGTTTATCCGTTAGGAGTTCATTTAGACAGAATGTCATAAATGAGTTTACCACTTGACTCTTGCTGGACATAATGAAAATCTGATCAAGACTATACAACAGCAAGAAAACATTATAGAACAAACCCTTAAAGCGGACGCTTCCTCTTGGAAACTCCTGGAGCTTTCTCCTCTTTATATTCCATAGTTCCTCAGTGCTAAGACAACACACAACCAGAAGCATATCAACATATGCCTCAATTGTGAAACATACCATAATTTAAATATATTAAAATTAACACTGTTAGAAGAAATAAGAAATAAAAAGTAAAACAAACAAATGGTAAAAATTAAATGTCAAAATTTCAAAATGGAAGAAACATTCTACAATAAAAAGTCATTATAGTAGTTAATATATACATGGTCAAGGCAAACTCTTAGACTTTCCAATAATTATTTTGACACAGCGATCTATCTCACATATGAAAGTCAGAAGGCTAGGCTATTAATTTCAAGGAATAAAATAACCAAACCAACCATTTTTATATCATAAATGCTAAATACTCCAACAGGATAACAAAGTAACAGGATGGCATACGTTAATCACACTCGCATCACATCACCTTGTTTTATTTTCTTGTACTAATCACTAACTGAAATTCTCTTTTCATGTATGTAGTTATCTGTTTGTCATCTGTCTAATTCCCACTAGAAATATCATTTCCATGAGAGCAGGGGTCTAAGAAATTTGACCATGAGATGGGTAAAAACACTGGATGGACAGATGAATGAGTATGTTCACATAATGATGGACAAAATGAGAGCTCTACTCTCTAAGAAAATTAAAGTTTTAGTAGGGAGATAAAATACGTTCTTAGCAATGACACAACACAGCAGAATATGGCAAATGGTAAAGAATATTACAAAATACAATGGGAACACAGTTCCGAGTAGGTGAGAGATGCATGGAGGGGAGACTTTTGACCTTAGGCAAGGTTTCATGGAGGAAGGTGGCATTTCAATTTAGCTCAAAGTAAAGGATCTGTGAAGGAGCTTTGGTTTATTTCATCATTAATGGAAAGTCACAGAAATGTTTTGAGAAGCAGAGTGAAATGGTCAGCGGAAGCACATGAAAAATAGGTGACTGACGAGGAGAACAAAGGTAGGGCAGAGTAAGCTATGTAGTGCAACTATTCAGGCAAGAAATAAAATATCCAGGTCAGAACAGGCTGTATGGACTGGAAAAGAGAGAAGGAAATAAGCGATGCTGCCCAGGTATATAACAAAACACCAAACACACCAAAAGAGCATTCGTCCTTTCCCAAACACAGGTTGAGTTAATCACTGCCCATTTCTTGGATAGGAACCTGAATGCCTTTTGATCTTCCATGTTACTTTCTGGTTGTTGTTGAAGTTTATTTGTATTTTTTTTAGTAATCTCTACACTCAATGTGGGGCTCAAACTCACGACCCTGAGATCAAGAGTCACGTGCTCTTTCAACTGAGCCAGGCAGGCGCTACTTCCATGGCACTTTTACCTGCATCCTTCTTATGACTTTTGGTACCTTTAAACACTTCAACTTAGTTATCTGTTTGTATTTTTAACTTCCCTTATTGGTAATCTAAACTCTCTAAAAGTATAAGCTGTGTCTTACTCATCTTTACTGACTCCATATAACTCAGGACAATGCCAGACACACAGTGGGCATTAAATAAACCAGTCAAATGAATGAACACAAGGAACTTTTTTTCATTTTTAGTAGAGTGACTGAAATCCGGTCATTACTGAGAAACAGAGACCCTGCCCTCATAGACCTGCATTCTAATGGTGAAGTCAGATAAATAACAAATATATAACCAGCAGGTATAATAAAAGCTGTGAGGAAAGATACAGATAAGTGGATTAAGACTGATGAGAAGGGGGGATGCCACTTTCGGTGGGGGTTTCCCGAAAAAGCTCCCTCAGGAGGTAACATCTAAGCAGAGCTGCCCACACAAAGTGAGGGAGCGAAGCACGTAAATCCCTGGGAGGAAGACTGTGTTGGTAGAGGGAACACCATGTAAAAAAGGTATGGGTTATTGAAGAATAGCAAAAAGGTCAGTGAGGCTGGCATGGACTGAATCAGAGACAGGTGTTAGAAAATGATGTTGGGAGAGGTGGCCAGAGGACAGATAATGAAGGGGCCTCTTGGATTGTGGCGGTAACTTTCTACTGTGATGGCAAACCATTAAAAAGAGCTGAACAGGGGTACCAGGGCATAATTTGCATTCGGTCACTATGTGGAGAATAGCGTAAGGGGAGGGGCGGTCAAGAATGGAAGCAGGGATGTGAGAGATGAAGGTATCTTCGACGTGGCATCAGTGGAGGTGGTGAGCTAATCAAACTGACTGATGGACTGGACGTGCAGCGGGAGACCAAAAGAAATCAAGAGTACTTCCACTGTTTCGTCTTCAACAACAGGGCTAAATGGAGAATAGATTCCTTCATATGTGAGGTTTTCTTTTTATAACCATAAGAAAAGGAAAAAAAAAAAGATGATAAAGTGATAACGTAGAAGCACTGTTTTGGGGAAGAGAATGAAGAAAGGCACTTGTGCCGAAGCTAGCATTACCAAATGCTAAAAATCGCTCAATGTTAACGTTTTGTAATACACTTTCCAGTAATAAAGAATCTTCTTTTATCAAAATTCCTTGTCTCCATTAAGTTATGAAAGTAAAACTCTCCAGACCCTAAACCTTTCTTTTCCTGCTAATGAGTAAACAATGAACATGTTTTATCACAGCAATTCAGAGCCCTGAGGTATCACATCTGTATTTGTAAAGTGATTTGGAAGTACACTTACTTTTGATTTAAAAAAGAACTCCCAGTAAATACATAAACAAGCAGTTTCTTTACCTCATACTGGCCATACTGAGTATCTAATATACCAACAGCAAGGAAGGAGTCTGACCTGGCTTAATTTATATTTTAAGTTTCTACACTCATCAAAAGACAACATAGATTTAGTAAATAAATTTTCTTAAGTTTTTATATTTAGTCTATACGGAAAAATTTAAAAGAATTGTTTAGAATCAAAAGCAGTTGATCATTTTCTTAACGAATCATTTTTACCTCATATCTATGTATTTACGTTTTAGAAGTTATTCAAATTAAACATAGTACTACTTTTAGTTACACACAGCTTAAAAATTACCTTAAAGTTATTTTCCTTTGGCTTTCTCCTCATTATGATATTGAAAGTTTCGTACACATCTTCTGCTCCATTTTGTATAGTATTGGTCATATCTTGTTGATACTGGTTTGGATCCAAAAACACTCTAAATGTCCTTGACTCTCCTCTAAGATTGGGTCTTGGCTCAGGTCCTAGACATTTTGCAAAGATTTGGTAAACGAAATACACACTTTTCAAGTATCAAAATAAGTCAGCAGTATTCCTTTTCTAGAAATGATGAGTAAACTGTCCAGAGTTAACTCCAGTCATTCCCCTGAGTAGATGCTACGAAGCTGAAAATATTTCCTCCTTTCCTTAAATTCTTGCTATTTCTTTTCCCAGAATAGTCACGTAATGTTTATGATGCAATGCCACGGACTGCAGTTATCTATGTCCTCAAACAAAATAAGAGCCTTAGAAGTCAAACAACTTTGTCAGTCACTCATAGTTCCTACCACCGCCTTACTTGGCTGATCACTTTTGTCATCCACATACCATTCCTAGTATCACCAGTGTGAAAGGAAATTTCCTTTCTTTTTGTCTTAGACCTCTAACTCCGGTCCCGATATGTGGCCTTATGTTTATTCCACCTTTCCCATTTTCTTTTATTCTAGTAATAAGATTAGTTTAATTATCAGTACTTTTGAGCAATGGTGCAATCTTAAAATCACAGGTGGTAGAGGTTAATTCTAGTTCTGAGAGAAGTTTAGTAAACAAATTGGAAAGTAAGCACTGGACACAGATGCATATATAATCTAACAGCTGTACCAAGTCAAGACAACATAAGAAAGAATTTCAAAGAAAAATCAATGATAATCAATGAGAGAATTTCAAAGAAAAATCAATCTAAGAAATCAAAGAGCTGACTAACCCTGTAAGATGGTATTTCTAAATGGGTAATGTCTGCATCTTAGGTATGACAATTCCTTAGACAAGGCAGTTCTGTTTAGATGTTTAGCATCCCGAGCCCCCATCTGTCAAATGCCAATAGCTCACCCTCCCCAACCTTACCCCGGTCATATGACAATATAAATAGCACCATACATTTCAAAATACAGGGTAGTATTAATCCCAACTGAGAGCCACTGCTACAATGAATCAAAAAAATAAAACTTAAAACACTAGGCAAATATGTCATAAGAGGTGTTTAGAGGTTTTAAAAAGCAATATTGCAAAGTATTACAAAAATTTAAATAAAGGTAACTTCAAAAGATCCTGTCCTTTCCAATATCTAATAAAAAGTTTAGAAACGATATTATTATTTCTAAAACCGGGTAGTAGGTAACTTACACATATTTTATACATAATCCTTTTGTGGTGACTTATTATGTAAAACAACTAAAAAATATTACTTAAGATGCAAAAAGGAAAAAAGGTGAAGAATTTTATCATTATGTACACACTCTCTTTTAAAAATATAGATCACCATACCGTCTTCAATGACACGCCCTTTATCATCTAGCATGCCCTGGATTTCACAGCCTCTGACATAAACCAGGCCAATCTGCTCAATAAAAGGTCTCCTCCGGTCAAACTTGGTACCATACGGTTTTGTGGGACGCACAGTAATTAAAAAACAGACATCATGCTTACGAAGACCTGGTAAAACATAAAGATGCTTTCACTTACTAGAATGTTCTTGTTTTCAGTCTTTTGTTGGCAAATTCTCATCCTCTTATCTTTGGAATAGAGATATAAGAAACATTTAAAATACCAGATGCGATCGATGATTATATTTGCATTATAATATAATTACGGGTTTTTTCCTATCATCTTTAATACTCAATGTTTGACAGCAATAATTAAATGAAAATTTCTCTTTATATTAAAATTAGAAACTTTTATGCCATGAATACGTTACCGAATAAGCCCTCCAAGTCATGTTACAGCTCCAAAATTGGATGCTCGTCATCATTCTTATTTTTAACATTCTTAATAAGTAACCAAAAATATGGCTGGCATATAGTCCATCTATGTCATATTCAGCAGGTTTCTAACATCGGTTTAAACTATCCATCACTGCCATTCCAACAACAGTTTAACTGCACTCCCCAAAAGAGGTCAATTCAAGAATAATTTAACAAGGCACAAAAGCATTGTTTATAGATACCATCCTGAGAACATGTTGAATATATAGTTTCGTTTGGCAAATACTTAACATTTTTAAAGGTAAATGTCAAGAAATAGGAAACCTGTGCCAAAGTCCATAGCTTCTTAATCATTACATCAAATACTAGACTCAACTGGATCCCCTGCTCTATTAAAAGTAGACACATGGGAACACAAGGGACGCAAAATTAGATCTCATATCACGTAATGTCACACCACTTATGTGATGTGGTGTGAAATGAAAGAATCTTCATTTCTTTCCTGATTCGTTCTGTTAGCCAATGTAGGACGTAAATGCAAACTTAAATGGTCTGCTTGCTTATAATCTTGGTATTAAGATCTACAACTAAATCAAATCAGCAATTTCAGTCAGTGTGTGGTTAACAGTACTGGGACCATTCTGGTTTGTTTTAATATGGAGTGGGGTTTACGTGTGCTAGAAACAATTCTGATTCTGATAATAACTTCGTTGCTTATTTCCCAACAAATTCTATGTAAAGAAGTAGGAGAAGTGATGAGAAGGGGAACTATTCTACTATCTGAGTTGTACTGCCTTTAGGATTTCTGATCTGCACAACTCATTACAACTTCTAAGTCTTAGAGTCAAAGTGGCACTGAGAAGTAATTAGGTCCGGGGCACCTGGGTGGCTCAGTCGGTTGAGCTTCTGACTTTGGCTCAGGTCATGATCTCATGGCTCTTGAGTTTGAGCCCGGTGTCGGGCTCTATGATGACAGCTTGGAGCCTGGGAGCCTGCTTCGGATTCTGTGTCTCCCTCTCTCTCTGCCCCTAACCCACTCGCATTCTGTCTCTGTCTCTCTCAAAAATAAACAAACATTAAAAAAAAAAAAATTAAAAAACAAAAAGAAGTAATTAGGTTCCCACCAATGTCACTTTTTGGCACCACTGATGGATGACCGCCTATTCCCTGCTAAAGCAGATCATTTTACTGTGGGACATCTCATATCTACATAAAAAACAAACAAACAAACAAACAAACAAACAAAAAACTTAGATAACAGCTCAACTATCTTTCTCCTTCAACCATCTGTATGTATTTACTCTGACCTGGCTGTGCCCTCTAGAGCAGAATCCAGCATTACTGTTTCATAATTCAGTTTCCTTAATTTTAAATGGGCTATTTAAGGGCCTGAGCTTCATACCTTTTTGAAGGAACAAGAAGAATGCTTTATATATTCAACTTAAACTCTTCAAAACTATCCTGTTCCCAATATTCATTAGTACTTATAGAACTCCCCTCTGATTTTCTGCCTCCATTTTCTATTTAGTTAATCCATCTGTGATCAACACAGGGCCTGAATTTTGGCTCTGGCCTCCCAGGAAACACTTTTCTCCCACCATGCCCCATAATAGGAAAATGAATATACTGTTCTATAGTACCCTACTGTTCCCTATCTTGTTCATCAAAATTGACCCATTAGATTTCTCATTCCATCAGAGGCCTGTGTTTAAAAGAATGAAAGAGGATGGGGCGCCTGGGTGGTGCAGTCGGTTAAGCGTCCGACTTCAGCCAGGTCACGATCTCGCGGTCCGTGAGTTCGAGCCCCGCGTCGGGCTCTGGGCTGATGGCTCGGAGCCTGGAGACTGTTTCCAATTCTGTGTCTCCCTCTCTCTCTGCCCCTCCCCCGTTCATGCTCTGTCTCTCTCTGTCCCAAAAATAAATAAACGTTGAAAAAAAAAAATTTAAAAGAATGAAAGAGGAGAAAAAAAGACTATTTAACATCCTTCTGATAGAAGCCTCCAAAGTAATAAAGGAAAGGAGTTTAGGTAACTGTGTAAAACAGTGTTTATTTTAATACCTCCTTAAGTGTCAAAGGTATTAAGTATAAAACCTTCTCCAGCAACTTAATGCCTTTCTTAAGGTTCAGCAACAATAAAGGTGTACATTATTCTAGATGTGTGATGCACTAGATTAGATTGGAACTCTTTTGAAGGATACAGCAGTCACAAAAACAACCTGTTACAACTATACCCACTACAGTGGCCATCTGTTAAGCATCTGGCCAGCTTTGCTGCTGAATTCCTTCAGAATTGCTGGATAAACATATCATATAGTCCCTAAGGTTATAAACAGCTATGTTGGGAGTAGTAATTTCTGAAAACTGATCCATTAAGGGACTATCCTTTTCCTTCTGGCATGCCAAGAAGGTGGATGGAGATGAAATCGGCCAGCTACTGTTTCTCACAACAGGACAGCAAGCAAGAGCTCTCATAGACAGCTGGGGGAAAAACATAAAAGTGCCACTTAAAAATTAGTTCACGTGCCATTTCTGGTACAGGTGTTATCAATGTTTTAACTATTTGGCTTACTAACTACGAACATATTTGCCTCTACATAAAATTCACAGTGACACGGAACTCCTGTCCCTAAAATCTTGCCTAGGAAAGAGCAGGGGAAATAAGTCATTCAATTTCTCTGCATCTATTATCTATCCTTGAATACATTTAATACCACTAGTTCTTTATCTCACTTCCTCCCTTTGGTGCAAATAAACCATTATTTCTCTCTGAGTTGTCTTCCCAGATCCCCTTAGAACTGCTTTTGAGTTTGTCTAATTTTGATTTTGTGTCTTTATTTTCCACCAACCATATGCATCCCTATTCACTCTGGCTGCTTTACCTCTTAAAAATACCAATTTTCCATAATTACTCTGCATGTGTACCAGTTATACATGGGCTGTCCCCCCCCTTCTTTAGCAAACAGTAATATTTTAATTCTTTTTATACCAATCCTACAAATTCATAAATATCATCTTACTATATGTGACATTTAAAGAGCTCTCATCTCAGCTTCGCAAACAGCAATTTTCAAAATACTGTGATATGCATGCTCTTTTATGCTTTTTATTAAAGTATTGAGACATTTAATGATTCTTATATGATCCTTGTTATTTTTACTACTAATGAATATAAAGACAATGTTTAGAAGGGTAATGTTTAGTACAAGTGTTTTGCCAATTTTCTAAGTGAAAATCTATAAACTATAAAGGCAAAAGGTAGCTTTACTTTTTGAAATAGAGAATTACCTTCCCATTCATCTTTGATATGATCTCTGACATTCAGATTGATGGTAACATCTGCACGAACTCGGGTTGGCCAGTTTTCACCTATGTTGGGCTTGGCAACCTCAACCACAGTGAAAGCGACAATAGGCTGGGCCATTCGTGCCCAGCCACCAAACACTACACCACCATATTCAGACTGCCTGAAAACCAAAGAAGTGCATGATTACTCAAACAAAAAAGGACTTTTCCCCAACTTTGGGACAAGTACAATTAGTAAGGAGGAATACATGTTTAGCTCCTAACTAAGCCCTGACATTAGTAACTCTTACTAATAAACTTAAAAACAAAAAAACAAAAAACAAAAACCAAGTCCCAATATATAAGGAATATATTCAACAGTATGAATTGGTAAACATGGTCCAGTAAAGAAAGGGGCAAAGGAGGAGTAGCCTACACACACCCAGGAAAAAAAGGTAACTATATACATAAGAGAAGAGCCATGTTGTCAAAGAATAATCTATTATAATAATAGAATAACCTAGATTATAATAATAATCTAGCATAGTTAGCTTTAGTTTATATTCTTATCCTCTTCCTCTTTTCATCAAGATAGTCACAACTATTTCCATTTTATGTATAGGTTTTAGAACAAGCTAGAATTTTAAAAATTAAAACCAAACCAACAAATGATTAATATCTATGCAAATGCTTGCTTTAGGGTGTAATAGTTAAATCATTTAAAAGATGCTGCCATGAATTAGGGGTACAAATAAGCTAGTTGTAATAATCAGAATCAGTAACATTCAAATACCCATTATTTCTTCTTAGTCTAAGTAGTGCTTTAAATTTTACATTAAGTAGTATATCTGGAAATCTGTAACATAAATTCTGTAGCCACACTCCCAAACTGGAAAGCACTGCCAAAAATGACATGCTTACACAGATAAAGAAAAGCTATATTCCATTAAAGTCTTTGTGTTACAAGAAAAAACCTACACATTTTGTAATATCAAAGAGTAAAACTAATTAAAAACAAATGTCCTGCATCCAGTAACTTGCTTAGTACAATTTCTAAAAGGTAATAACTATCACCTCCTCCATTTTTTACAATTTTACTACAGTATTAGTTTATACACCATAAAATTCATTCACTGTAAATGCACACATTTCAATGATTTTTGGTAAATTTGCAGGGTTGTGCATCCATCACTACAATGTAATTTGAGAACATTTCCATCCTATGTATGAAAGATCCCTCTCATCTGACTACAGTCAATCCTGTTCCTATACCCAGGCAACCACTAATCTATTCTCCCCAACTTCTGCTTATAAAATCTACCTGCAACATGAAGCATTAAAGAGGACAGATTTCTGCCTGTATGTTGCTCAGTGGTTTTAGCAGCCTGAAAACATGATCATTAGAACCATGCACTGAGTAAAAATGCCTCTCTTCTCCACCTTCAGCACACACGAGCAGAAAGAAGTCTGGCCTCTTTTTAGATCTCATCTTTTTCTTTTAATGTTTATTTATTTTGAGATGGGGTGGCGAGAAAGGGGGACAGAGGATCCAAAGCGGGCTCTATACTGACAGCAGCGAGCACAATGCAGGGCTTGAACTCACAAATCCAAGAATCGTGACCTGAGCCACAATCAAAAACTCAAACAAATGAGCCACCCAGGAGCCCCTAGATCTCATCATTTTTATGAAAATCTAGAAAAGTTTATTATCCCAAGTTAAAACTCTCAAAAATGATATTTTTCCTCCTTAGCAGAAAATAATGTAAGTTAAAAAAGTTTCCTTTGTTAATAGACCAGAAGAACTCTAAGTATTTTTGGTTTATTTGACATTTAAGTAAAATATAAATGAATTCTATTTGATAATCTGCTAATTAATAAATCCCTAGTTTGCAAAATGGCCAAAATTAGGTCCAGAATCTGAGCATATACACGCAAGGTAGCCATAAACTGAAAGGAAGCTTCCGATGAAACACTCCCCCCGGGGTCCAAACAATAGGCAATAATTTCAGCAAAGTTGTGGGCAGGGATGATCAGCCAGTGAGTATACAAATCTCACAGCGCTAGCCTGCCTACTGACTCAACTGATTATTAAGTCAAAAATACTTTATGTTGTGTTTTATAGTCTCACCCAGAATAACTTTTCACATAATAATTAATTAAAAAATAGAAGTGTGTATGAAATAAAATGTGGAAGTGAAAAAAATAGATCATAATCACAGTGTCCATGTAGTTCTCTGTAATTAGTAAGGAGAGAAGCCTGGAAAATACCTGCATCAGTTCATATTCAAAAAGTGTTAAGCTTTGCATATAGAATGCAGCATAATTATATGTGCACGCATGGTATGACTATAATAAAAATTCATTTTACAGAATTAATTTTACTAGTTTATGGTCACTTGTGGTATATAACTTACCCTCATCAATTCCATACTTAGAATGAAATAATAAATGAAGGACATAAAGTCATGTCTAAAACGAAAACTAACCTCCACAAATCTCCTAATGCACAGCTGCTTCCAATAACTAGAATGAAAGTCTTCTCTTAGCTAACGGAATTCCAAACATGAGCTAGCAGGCAGGGAGTTTAAGCAGAAGACTTCATCAATTAATGAGCCCTACTCACGGGCCCCCAAATAAATCCTGATTTAGTCTCTTCAAGGTAATCTATGGATGGAGGGCCAAGGAAGACTTCCCAACGTTCCATTCCATGTGATGCTCAGCAATGCTCCTCATCTCTTGCCAGGTCCCTTAGAGAGGCTAACTGAGGTACTGGTGACAGCCACAAGAGCAGCTGGGGTAGCAGAAGACCCTTTATTATAAGCTCCCAGGACTTAAACCGTCCTGCCCTAGTATAGGCCCACTGGGTCAGCCCATACCCTCCCTCTTTACCCTTTTACTCATGTTCAACCTACTCTCCTCTACACTTCTTCCCTGTCCCGAGAATGATGACCTCTCCCCCCTTATTTCCAGTCCCCCACCCCCAAGGATCCAGATACATATTTTATATTTTAGCACTTTTGATATACTCTAATCCACATTAGAGAATTTAGAGAATTTCTCAAAGAGTAAATTTACAGAAATCAGACAATTTCTCAAAGAATAAATATCATATTTTGGAGGGCATCTACAAGCCAGGTATACTATTTCTATACACACTTATGAGGTTTCTGACAGAGGTATGTCACGGTTTGCATCTCTTCATTACAAATGGAACCAATTTACTAACCATGGCTTCATTCTGCTGACACTATCCTCGATGTCCTGCCTAATTTCGTAAGTTGATTCTAAGCGGAAGAGATTAAAGTTCCTTAGAAGGTAATCATGGAGAGTCAAAAATTGCAAATTCAACTTGGGAAGAGCAAGACAACCTGAAAAAGAAAACAACATCCACATCCAAATTATTCTCTTACTCAGACAGCTGTACTATGTATAACGAAATGTACCACAAATTTGGTAGAGTCTAATTTAATGTTTAATATGCTGAAATACAGCATATTTGATAAGGTCCTATTTTTATTTTCACACAGAACTGAAACCAGGTTAAGAACTATCTACTAAGAACTGGAAAGGAAGAACAAATCTCATTAATACATACAACCACATATCAATAATTCATATACAAACAATCTTCTAAAAAATATTTGAAGATACTTAAAATTAATATAGTCTCAAGTAGTTTAAAAATTCTTCCTTTACTAATTTTTATTTGGCAAAGCTCGAAGTAATCAATGACCATAAACTAACCCCATGACAAATTTATCGCAGAACCTAATTAGTATACTACAATGCATAAATCTATCTCCAGTGGTCATTACTGTGCTCTGAATCTTGTCTTTTGGCTAGACTTTAAGGATACGGCATTGGTTGTTATTCCTGGAGTTACTTCCATTCCCACTGTACCAAAGCAATAATGAACCTAATAGCAAAAAACATAAATAAAAAAATGGGGGGCACCTGAGTGGCTCAGTTGGTTAAGCGACCAACTTCGGCTCAGGTCATGATCTCACAGTTTGTGAGTTCGAGCCCTGCATCAGGCTCTGTGCTGACAGCTCAGAGCCTGGAGCCTGCTTTGGATTCTGTGTCTGTCCGTCTCTCTGTCTCTCTCACACTACCCCTCCTCTTCCCCTGCTCATGCTCTGTCTCAAAAATAAATAAACATAAAAAAATTTTATTTATTTCACATCATTTATGTTCATAAATTCTGATTTATAATCTGACTCAGTATCTTTCAGGCCAGAGGCTAAGGGAAAGCATCTCTTTGAGAGCACAATTTTATTAAAAAAAAGAAAAAAAGAATTAAAATGTCACCATTCTGCAACCATCATTGAATTAACAAATCTAGCTGTTAAGCAGCAATGGCAGCTAACATCATACCCACAAAAACAACCAGACATCATATGCCTCTGATGAAAGAATACAACACTACCAAGAATCTTGCCAGAGAGAAAACCTTAAGCCTGATCAAGCTTCTGCATTCAGGTACCAATCTGTAAGAAAAATAAAGAGCAGAGGGACATACTCGGGTGTACACTGAGTAGTCACTAAAAAAAAGCTAGACTGTGGAACACACACTCAGGTTCTTCAAAACAAAAGGAAGGGATATGAGGTACTTGTAAAGTAAAAGACATTTTAAAAATGTGCACGATTAACTATCATATGTGGATGCACAATTCGGTGATAAAACTATGAAGAAATATAGAGTGATTACTATGGAAGTGAAGACATGGTTACTTTCAAGTGGAGGCAGAAGCAGTAACTAGGAAGGAGCATAATTATAGGAGGGTTCTGGGATGGCTGACAAGGTGGGTTATTTCTCTTATGATACTTAGTTAAGCTCGATATTTATTCTGTGTGGCTTTCTAGATCTGTGTTTATTAAAAAGGTCCAAAAAAGGGGCCAAAGATTTTACAAGAATTTTCTTTACAATTCTTACAATATATCTATTTTTATATCTGTCCCAATTTCTTCCTCTCCCTGGGAGCTAGAAGCAGTCTGTATCATGCAGTATTAGCTTTGATCTTTGCCTATTTATTATCAGCAGATGTTGAGCCGCCAAAACACAGGGCCATCCATGGTCACAAAAGAACAATGGCATGATATAGTCAACTGTCTGAAAACAGCTTAATTACAGTGAAACCATTTGGCAACTAATATTGTTCTGAAATTCTTTCTATAAAAGCTGAAAAGATTTAAATCCCTTTTCCTTTAAGTTCACAGGAATGAAAGAAGAGCAATACTTTCTATACCTGGCAAATATGTTTTATATGCTGACCAGTGTGATTGAGTAGCACCAAAAGGTACATGTATGACTAGGTCTATGTTTAAGAAAATATAAGCTATTTACTGCCAAACAAAATATGAAGTGGTATCTGCTTTGTAGGAACTGATCAGAAAAGAGATGGCATACATCCATGGTCATAAATGCTTTTAGCATGAACAAACTGGAAAAGTGAGAAAACAATGCACTGGCCATTGTAAGAATGAAAAAAATAAAAAATGAAGACTGCCTACTCTGAAATCTAGAAAAATTTTGGTGCACTGCATATACTAAAGTTATGGCTTTAGGACAGGACTCTGAAGTATCCATTTTAAATAAATGTACCACTGGTGAGGTCTTTAAAACAGCTAAGCTTCTCATAATGATACCATTGTTCAAAAAATTTCCTTAAAATTTTTTTTGAAATATGCCTTCAAAATACGTCACAATATACTTCAGCATATACTCAATTTTGGCGAATTCTCATCCTTAAAGGATGAACAAAAGCATTTAGGAACAAATCTGCTAAAATAGGTAAACAAACCAGGGAATACTATTTTCAATCAGACTAGGGGTTTATTATTAACAAATGACAATTTTTGGTGGTCATTAACTGGCTTAACAAGGAATTCAGAAGAACTTCTAAAAAAGGCTTTGAAATAAAACACTTCCAAACAAAACCTATTACAGTGACATAATGAAAGCTACACTTCCTACACTATTAGGTTCCTTACAGTATTTTTATTGCTTATGGTCATATTTTATAAAGGATGACATATGTACATGACATAAAATATGTATACAGGTGCACATCTGAGGACATGCACATACACACATTAGGACATGGTTAAATTTAATAAAAATCCTTAATGCTAAGCATTCAAATACTGAATAGTTTCCAGCTTTAAAATGAACTTGAAGGTACCAGAATATTACCCTAATGTATGTAACAGACAGAAGTACTTTCAGTTACCTATGATAAATTCTAAATTAAATTTCATGGCACACCTGAATCCCGTGCTTCTCTGGCTTACCTTCCCCAGAATAGTATTCAGTTGGGACAATATTTTCATCCCAAATGATTTTCTCAGTTGGATACAAAGGCATCTGGTTCAACTGCTGAATCTGAGAAATTCGACGTTCGTGACGAGATACCTAGAAACAGGTTCATGTAGAAAGTCAGAAGCATCTTTTGTTAAAATAATTTATGGAGAAATTCACCATAAAGTTTGAAATGAGAAGTTTCATCTCTTTCAGTTATGGTAGTACTTAGAGGTTTTTCTTTCCTTTTTCCAATTTCTCCATAAATCAAAGATGAAAGAGGCACCCATTACGGTGAGCTTTGTAATCAGATGGATCTGAGTTCAACTCCCAGAACCTCTCTCTATGTATGAGCTACATAAAAACTGGGCAAGATACCTGAACTTCCCTGATTTTAGCAATCTTTCAGTAAAACAGATAAAATACCACCTACCTCTCAGGTTTCTTATGAAAATGAAATAGAATACTGTAAAATAGCATCAAGGTGCCTTGCACATGCCAGCACTTAGTATTCATCAATGTAAGAAAAAAATGGGAGCCCTAAGTCCTCGATTAAAGTTTTTATTCTTATACTAACTAAACAATATGGAAAATTTTGTTTATTAATAACCTGGTCTCAGCCTTCCTTGTAAAATGAGAGGTGGACTTGATGGCCTCTATGTAGATTTCCATTGTTAATATTATAGTAGTCCTCTATTTCAAACACAGAAATAAGCTTGTTCCCTAATTAATATGTTAAAATAATGATATATTTGAAAAATGTGTCATGTTCTCTTCAGTAGAGATAGTATTATTTTAGGAAAGAAGACAGTGTGATATCATCTAACCAATATGCATATTTCAACTTCATCATTATTCAGATATTAGATGAATCCAAAGCATGAGGAAATCATTTAGGAACAAGAGGAAATGAGAGATAATGCTGTAGCACTATAAATTTTTAAATTTTTAAAACCGTTTTCTTTTTGGCATAAATATTTCAATTTTAAAAATAAAATCTTAGCTCTAAGACTGTAAAAGGCATAAAATCAAGCCTTATGTTTAAACCTGTTTTCCATTAGAAAGATTCCTAAAGAAATCCTCATTTCTTTGTATAGTAAGGATTTATTAATAATCTCCAAACCTGACTTATGAGAAACGATTTTACATTGTCAGAAAATAGGACAAGGAATTTTTAGAAAGCACTTGGCACTCGGAAATAACGAAGAAGGCAAAGATGGTGACCCGAGACATACATTTCACACAAGTAAATATATCAATAAAAAAGTATTTTCCACACATGAATTAATTTAAAACTCCAGGAATTTCTCTCCAAATGGCACTGAAGCACCTGTCACCAGGCTTAAAACATCTGCTATAATAGTTTCTGGTAACTATTCCCAAAGTAGCATATCATCTTCTCTACAGTAAGGAATTGTATTTTATACCCTATATTAAAAGTATTAGCTTGGAATATATGTCACAAAACTGTGTGCCCATTATGGCTCTATGTTAAAAGATGTATATATACTCTTCCATAGTGTATGTTTGTAAAGTTATAAAAAACATACTAAAAACTACTCAAACTATAGCAGAGGAAGGAAGTCCTTTAAGATCTTTTCAATAGCAAACAGAAAACAAAAAATTAAAACAAGCTTTTTTTTTTTTTTTTTTTTTTTACTCATGACACTAGCAAAAATTGGGATGACTCATAACACCCAATGCTGGTACAAGCTTAAGGAGATACACTCTAACACACTGTTGGTGGGAAATGCACCTTTTTGAGGATAATTTGGCTGCATCCTATCTTTTAAATAAGCACATGTTTTAATCAAATAATTTCACTTCTAGGTACCTCTCCTAAATGTCCCCACATAGGCACAAAGAGGCATGTGCCAGGATCACATCATTATTTGTAAGTGAACACTGCAAACAACTTAAATATTCATAGTGTAGACATAATTACTCATAAATTTTATGAATGATTTTACTAAAGCTAAAAGTAAGGTATACTCCTTTCCCTCAAATTTTTCTGTGAGCCTTAAAACTGCACTTAAAAAAAAGAAAACCTTAAAAAAAAAAAAAACCTTACCAAAAAAAGTATTAGTTTGAGAGATAAAGTCCACTACTTTCCAAAATGACTGAAAAATCCCTTAGAATTCTTAAACCACTAAGTCAGTGATAACTTATTTTCTTTAAACATTCCTGAGTTTTCTAATGATAAAGGTATACGTCAATATTCAAGGTACTTTAAATAACTTTTAAAATACACAGATAGACAGATATGAATACATATGTATTACCTGTGTGGGTGTATGTAGCTGTGACCTCTAAAAGGCAGGAATGGGGTCAATTATCTATGCATTCCCCATTGCCTGAATCCAGAGCCTGACAAAGAAGCTGCTCATAAATGTCTGTATGCAATGAATTCATGCCATAAAGCAGTTGTGAGAGGTAAAGTCTTGAGAAAAGAAATCTAACAGATGAGAAAAGAAATCTGACAAAACCAAATGATGATGTAATTGTAAAATAGGTAGCAACGATCTACTTACCCTTTAGCCCTGGAAAAAAAGACATACCCAGGTCTTTAGGTATGATTCAAAATGGTAGGGAAAATTCAAAGAACATTAACATTTACCAGCAATTCTAGAAGAAATTCTTTATCAAAAGTTGTGTCTTCATTTTTAGGAAGAGTTGGTAACAAGCAGAGGTATGATGCCACCTGGTGGAGTGTATTTGAACTGCAGAATAAGGAATATTCAGATCAAGAGTATTCTATTAATTTAACCCTAGTTCATTTTTGAAACACCTAATTTTACAGATGGCTTAAAACATTTTACCCAGAAAATATAATCCTACGATACAGCAGAAAATTAAAAAACAATTACCAATGAAAGTTAATCCCCTTAATGTAGGCTCTCAAATTATCATCTGCATACCCCTATGGTCCCTGAGACCCTTCTAGGAAGTATGCAAGAAAAATACTATTTTATATTAATACTAGGACATTATTTGTTTTTTTCCACTGTCTTTACCTACACAGTGTAAAGCAATGGTGGGTAAACTGCTGACATAGGGTAAGGTGGTGGCACCAACCAGGACTGTAAGTAGCCATAGCATTCCTCACTACCCCATGCAGAGTAAAAAACATTAAGAATGCAACTAATGAAGCAGCAAAATTAATATATTAACTAAAATTAAATTAGTAACTAAAATTATTAATATAATTAAATTTGGACTCTTGACTATGCTTTTAAAAAATTCTGTGTGACAGAATGGGATGCACACATTTTGCACACAATTTTTGCTTGAAAGAACTGACAAACTATGGTTATTCAGACCTGAATAAATGGCAAAAAATTTTCAAATCTGAACAAACCAGTAACTTTAAGGAAAACAACTGATAGTATTTGTTACCAAAGATAAAATTTGAACTGCCAAGTGAAAAACTGGAATTCTAGAAAACTTGCATTCACCACCGTGAGCTGAACAGCTTTCCGTTACTTAAATACGTTTCATCACGCTCCCCAAATTCCCTCACATACTCTATCCCAGTCCCTGGTAACCACTAATCTGTTTTTGATCTCCACGACTTTGCTTTTTCTAGAAGGTCAAATAAATGGAATCACACATTATGTAGCCTTTGACACTGGTTGCTTTCATTTAGCATAACGCAACTAAAATGCACCCAGACTGCATGTCTGTAATCGGTTCCTTTTTATTGCTGAGTAGTATTCCATCATATGGGATGTAGCACAGCACGTGTATTCACTCACCAGTTGAAGGATATGTTTTTATTTATTTTTATTTATTTTTTCAACGTTTATTTATTTTTGGGACAGAGAGAGACAGAGCATGAACAGGGGAGGGGCAGAGAGAGAGGGAGACACAGAATCGGAAACAGGCTCCAGGCTCTGAGCCATCAGCCCAGAGCCTGACGCGGGGCTTGAACTCACGGACCGCGAGATCGTGACCTGGCTGAAGTCAAACGCTTAACCGACTGCGCCACCCAGGCACCCCAAGGATATGTTTTTAAAAGACAACTATAACTAAAGCCACTATATATATTTCCACACAGATTTTCGTGCAAACACAAATTTTCATTTCTCTTGGGTATATCTGTGAGAATACTAGATTGTACAGTAAGTACGTTTAACTTTACAGGAAACTGTCAAATTTTTGCGAACTTTGAATTCCTATCAGCTATGTATGAGAATCCAGCTGCTCCACATCCTTGTCATAAGTCAATACACTGCATGTTTTTTTTAAACAATTCTAATAGACATGTAATGGTATCTCATTATGATTTTAATATGCATTTCTCTAATGACTAAATGATACTAAGCATCTTTCTGTGGCGTTACTGAAATGCATTATCTTTGGTGAAGTATCTGTTCAAATCTTGAGCTAAATTTTTTTTATATATATTTGAGAGAAAGAGAGTGCAAGTGGGAGAAAGAGAATCCCAAGCAGACTCCACAGCCAGCACGGAGCCTGACCAGGGCTTGATCCCACAACCCCAGGAACATGACCTGAGCTGAAAGCAAGAGTCGGACACTCAACAGACTGAGCCACCCAGGCACTCCCTGAGCTATTTTTAAATTGTTTTCTTATCACTGAGTTCTGAGACAGCCCATCATCAGGTACGTGTTTGGCCAATATTTTCTTCCACTTTGGGGTTGTATTTTCATTCTCTTAACAGTGTCTTTTCAAATAGTAACAGTTTTAAATTTTTATAAAGTCCAACTTATCCATTTTTTTCTTTATGGACTGTGCTTTGGTGTCTATGGAAATGTTTGTACAAACCATAATCAAACAGATATCCTGTATGTCCTATTATTTCCCGTTTTGATAAATAGGTCTATGACTCACTTTGAGTTAATCTGTGTACAGAATGTGAAGTATGGGTTAAATTTCATACTTTGCATAGAGATGTCCAACCATTCCACTATTGTTGAAAAGATTATCCTTTCTCCATTGAGTTGCTTTGGCATCTTAGTCAAAAATCAACTCACCATATATGTGCGGTCTATTTCTGAATTCTATTTTGTTCCGGTGATGTCTATGTCTGTCTTTTATTCAATACCACAGGGTCTTGACTACTGTAGCTTTACAAGCAATCTTGAAATTGGGTAGTGAGGATCCTCCAAGTCTGTTCTTTTTCAAAATGGTTTAGGCTGTTCTCATCTCTGCCTTTCTATATTAATTTCTGAATAAGCCTGTTAATTTCTAGAAAATATTCTGCTGGAATTTTGATTGGAACTGAATTATATCTATGGATCAGTTTGGGCAGAATTCATACCTTAATTGAGTCCTCTCATCCATAAGCAAGGCAAATATCGCCATTTCTAAAATTAATTCACTTTAATTGCACAGAGTTCCTTAATATGGTTTCAGATACCACACTAAAACTAATGTTTAAGAAACTACCACTTGTCAAGTTTTTATATTGTATCAAAGAAAAATATTCACAATTATTTGAAAAAGCTACTGAAATATATTTCCCTTTTGCATAAGGCCTGATTTTCTTCATTTACTTCAACCAAAACAATCTCACAATAAATGAAATACAGAAGCACATCTGCAAATTCAACTGTCTTTGATTAAGTCAGACATTAAAGAGATTGCAGAAGTGTAAAACAATGCCACTTTTCACTATATTTTTTTAAATTTGGGAGAATATATTTTTCATTAATAATATGTATGCTAACATAATAGGCTTTTAATTAGTTTTTTAAATAAATCATTTAACATTTTTCCAGTTTTAATTTCTATTATAGTAAATATAATGGCTATAATCCACATTAAAAAAAAGGTTTTTAACATCCTCTATAATTTATAAGATTGTAAAGAAGTAATATAGGCAAAAATAAATTCCCCATATGGATTATGCAGCTACGTTTAATGTAAAAAAAAATCTATAGGGTGTTTTAAAAACATACTACTTTATAATCTTATGGGGAGGAAGGCCTTCTAACATAAAACATTTGCTATTGTTGTTAAGAAGACTTGACATATAACTTAAAAATTGTAAACACTGTAATAACAAAATATACCAACACAAAATCTAAAGTGAGAAACTGAGAGAAAATAATTACAACACAAACTAGACAAAATATTAGTATGCAAAATAAAGGTTCTTAAAGAAATCAATATGACAAGCAATGAAATACAAAATAGCAAAAGATAACAAGAAGGTTATAGACAAAATGCAAATGGCCAAGAAAAACAGAAAGATGCTCAATTTCCCCAACATAATCACAAAATGCAAAGTAAAACACTGAGGGTTCTTTTATCTTTGGCGAAAATTAAAGACTAATTTACCTAGCAGGTAGGGAAACAAATAAATCCTCAAATTCTGTTGGTATAACTGGTACATACTTTTGAAGGGAATTTAGCAATATATAACAAATTTTAAATACATAACCCCTTTGAGTCAGCCATTCTGCTTCTGTGAATCCGTGCCAAAAATTTTTACATAGAAATAAAAAGGATGTTGTTCATTAGTGAGTCATTAATAATGGCCAAAAATTTAGAAATTAAAGATTTGTCAATTGGAGAGTGATCACAAAATAGTATGGCAGAGTTATTCAAAGGAACTTTCTGCAGTTCATTAAGAGAATGAAATAATTCTATGTGTCATTATAAGAGTTATTATTTGGGTGCCTGAGTGGCTCGGTTGGTTAAGCGTCCGACTTTGGCTCAGGTCATGATCTCACAGTTTTTGAGTTCGAGCCCCGCATTGGGCTCTGTGCTGACAGCTCAGAGCCTGGCACCTCCTTCAGATTCTGTGCCTCTCTCTCTGTCTGCCCTTCTCCCCCTCAGGCTCTGTATCTCTCTCTCAAAAATAAACATTTAAAAAAAAAAGAGTTATTAAATCTTCTTATGAAGATTCAATAATCTTCCAAGTTAATCAACTTCTAAGTTAAAGCCAAGTTTGTTTCATTTTAGAGAGCCATAATGAGCTAAACATAATTTCTCCCAAGAGTTAAGGACAATAGGGAGAGAACAGAGCACAGTTAAAAGTTAGGTTTGAGGGGCGCCTGGATGGCTCAGTTGGTTAAGCGTCTGACTTCGGCTCAGGTCACAATTGCTTGGTTTGTGGGTTTGAGCCCTGTGTTGGGCTCTGTGCTGACAAGCTCGGAGCCTGGAGCCTGCTTCAGATTCTGTGTCTCCCTCTCTCTCTGCCCCTCCCCTGCTCACGGTCTGTCTCTGTCTCTCAATAATAAATAAACATTAAAAAAAATTTTTTTTTAAATAAAAAAATAAAAGTTAGGTTTGAATCCTATCTCTGCTGCTTACTTGCTATTTGACCTAGACAAATGACTTAACAATTCTGTGTCTCAGTGACCTTATACCTAAAATGGTACCTACTCCTCACAAGAATGAAAGTCTTGAGGATTATTTACATACTTAGTAGAGTGCCTACCACGTAGTACAAACGTATTACTACATTTTCAAAAATGTGTATTAGCTGAGTGCCAAAGAATATTACTAATTTCATAAATTTTAAACACACAAAAAGGTTTCTAACTCATACCTTTGATGTCACATATGAACATTTACTGATTTCTGTTGTATATTATGACTGATGGGATACCAGTTTTATGTTCTACTTTAAGAAAACTTTACGATCTAGGAAAAATGTTTAAGTTATGAAAAATATAAATTTTGGGACACCTGAGTGGCTTAGTTGGTTAAGTGTCCAACTTCGGCTCAGGTCATGATTTCGTGGCTCATGAGTTCAAGCCCCATGTCCGAATCTGTGCTTCCCTCTCTCTCTCTCTGCCCCTCCCCCGCTCATGCTCTGTCTCTCCAAAACAAAAATAAAAACCATTAAATTAATAAATATTAATTTTGCTCCCAAAATAGATGATCAATAATTATAGCGAAGTGACTTAAAGATACTAACTGCTGGAGAGAAGCATTAGTTTTAGTTGTCAACAAAGCGAGCAGTGCAACAAGTTACATTACTTAAGGTAGTGCAAAATGATTAAAAACACAAAGAAAATTAAAATTCCGTTTTCTTTCCATGTTGACTTACCTAAGTGGTCCAAAAAACTTGACCAAAGATTCCCGAGTATCTACTTCTGCCACATTTGAGAGTGCAAAATCATAGAGTTCAGGGAAATGTGCAAAGGCAGCTCTCTAGAAAACGGGAAAAACAAAAACAAAACTCAAGAACTAATGTCTGCATATTAACAATAAACTACAATTTATGTACTATATGATAAAAATATTAAAAAATATATTAATGCACTTCTGTTTCTTATATGCTTCTCATATGTGACCTCTGCCTTATTTAGCCAGAAGCATTCAATACAATGGGGGAAAACCAGAATTATTCTAGCAGGAACGCAAAAACAAAGAGTCAGTGTTCAATTTTTTATTTCTATGTTGTATTTTGAACATACATGAATCAGCCAATAAAGCTACCTTCACTGACAGGAAGGGAGAGAAATAAAATACCTGAAGAGATAGCCTGAGGGAGAAGCCAAAAGTACAGTGTGTTTGTGCTTTGTTTTACTTAGGAACTCTGGAAAGAAAGGACTTCACAGGGTTAACACCCACAGCCGACATGGGGTAAGCCACAAGAAAACAGAAATAGTAGCACTACAGTGACCGGGTAAGAGTGTATGTGATAACATCCCTAGTCTTTCTCAATGCCCACGTGGCACAGAGAAATCCAGAAGTTTTCATGTGCCCCACAGTGGGATGACACAAAAACCTGCCAAGGTTACTGGTGAGCATGCCATAGGGTTACTACAGGCAATGGTGAAATGACCCTGCAACCCAAGCCTGAGAGTGAACTGTTGAAGCTAGGAAATGAATGGGAGTCAGCTCTCTGGAGGACTCCAGCATCACCAAGAGCAAGAGTGCGGCCTCGTCAGCAAGGAGATAGCCAAGCTCCTCAGGAATCATCATGCCATGCCTGTGCCAAAAGAGCAGACCACAAGCCGCGCCAGCTGTGGTTACTTCAAGGGCAGAAGCAGAAGGACAAAAACACCAATGCTCTGAGCGAAGCAAGAAAAGACATGTAAGCTGTGCAGGTCACTCTTCTTCCAAAACAATGAGGCTATCTCAATGCTTCCATATACCCAGATGCCATTTGGGGAAAGAAGAGGGAGAACAGAGAGTCCCTGAGAGATAGTGGAATTGATTATGAAAGACATTTTGAACTTAAGTTTGACTCTTTCCCCAAAAAGACGGAAACAGAAAGGACTGAATTTCTCCAAAGTGACAAATAAAAGCTTCTTTCTACCACCAGAAAGGGCAAGAGCAAGAGGAAATCAAGAACAGAAAACAAAGGTACTCTGTTGACACAGCTGAGCTGTACTGGACAATTTCGGTCCCATTACCTATGTTTATCTTTAAAATTTATAAAACGCTCACACATACTTTGTCGATACATTGGGAATACTCTTTCATAAATAAAACTGGTAAGTATATGCACCAAATTGGCCCAGTAATTAATCAAACATTTCTGAGTGTCAAATATCAGTATCTTGATTCTCAAGATTGAAGACTATGAAGAAAGCCATTTTTTCCCCATGAATTCATTAGAAATAGTAATATTTTAAAAGTAATATTTTAAAAACTTATTTAAAAAATAATTAAAATATTTAAATATTTAAAAGTAATATTTTTAAAAAATTTAAAAATTAGCATTATTTTAAGTATTTAAACATTTTAAAAGTAACATTTTAAAAGTTCAAGATGAAACACTATTAAATTAGTAGTTTTTTATACCTGTACTACATGAAACTACATTATTTATGAACCAACTTGATGGGAGCAGAAGCACAGGCTATACTGCATTTCAGTCACCTGGAGAGAAGTGATTCTGTCATAGTGAATTGTAGTCATCTCATTCTCTGTCAGAGCGTTCCCAGTCTGGTCGTTAATCTCAAAACCAGTATAGAACTTAAGCATGTCCAAAAGCTGAAAGGATACATTTACATTAATAAACTGTGTGAACATAAGAACAAGAAACCACAAACAAAAACTACTTATTATAAAGATTAAGTAAGTCTGTATACCTTCTCCGAGGTGCTGGATAACTCTGGAATATAAACACTGCAACAAACACTTCAGAACATATCCAAACATGTTTTATTTGTGTGAGGAAAAAGTATTTTTCTTGTGAATAAATTGTTAAGAGTCTATTTCATATACACGGTCTACTTCTACAGAGAGGAACTTAAATTGAAATCCCAGTACTGAACGGACGGACATTAAGGATTTAATCAAAAGAAGCCAAACACCTAAATGGAAAAAAACAAAGTAACCACTGCCAATTTATGGAACTACACCACTAGAGGGAACTCTTGAGGTCCTTTACTTAGGTAGGCCACTTAATACAGAATTTTCTGAATGAGGGTTTTGGAATTCATAATTGGAGATATTCTTCTCTGTGTGCTGCTACTATTAGGGAAATGCAGCAAGGTGAGGAAAGCTAAGATATTTATTCCTCTCATCAGTCTCCACAGCCATTAAGCCCTTTCTTTGGCTTAGTTCCTGCTGCTATAATGAAGGCCTGTTTTCCCCAGAGACACAGTCTACTGGCTACATTTACCCCAAATCTTCATCATTATTGATTCTAACCTATGGCAGAACAGATACTAGAATTTTAGTATGTTTTAATGCATGTGGCAAATCACTGGATAGAAATTTAGTAAGAGAATGAGAAAAAATATAGATACAAGATAAAAGAATTCTTAAAAGAATATATAAGCACACAAAAATTATATCTCCAACTATGATCTCATTGAAAGGCAAGTATTAGGAGTTTGGTAGAAGACTTTTTCCTGAAGAGGTGATGCGAAACAGTAAATGTGAAACACTATTACTTCTTTCTACTCAAGGTAGCAAATGAAGTGCACTGCCATGCTCTCAACGGTTTTGGTCACCACCATCATATGGAAAGACAGCCATGAGAGGAGGGCATAGTTCTCTTGAAATTAATGCTCATCATCTACTGTATTCCACAGTGGTTACTAACATAAAATATATGAGTATGTGGGACTGCACTGCCAAAATCCTAATTTAGTCCAATAATAAAATCACGTATGATTAATCAAAGCTCTTCATTCATTTGTTTTCTATACTAAGATTTGATTTTACTTTAAAATGACTAATTGGGAATTTACATTACTTAATTCAATATTTAGTAAAATTTCCTTTATATCACCACTGGCACTCTTGGTTGCATGGCAGAAAAAGAATCAATTTAGAAATGAAAATATGTTCAGATATATCAATGCTCACCTGGGAAAAAAGATGGCCATCCTCTTCTCTATGAACAAGATTGGAAAGGTAACAGTGAACCAAAAGGTGGGAGTCATCCAGAATGGTATTAAACCAGCGCCTCGTGGGGAGGAGGGCCTAAAAAAAATAAATACCATGGCAATAAATCTGCATGTTCTCTGCAGCTAGAGGTAAACTCTACTGATCCTTCACTCAGAAGTGTCAATCACATACAAAGTACCCTCTAGTCTCCCAAAAGACACTGTGCACAAAGCAAAGGGTCTGGTCCGTGTGTAAACAGGCGCAGTGGCAATGTTTATAAATAAAATACGACATTAGAAGAAATTTCACAGATATGAAAGCCAGTAGTTTTCAAACAAAATCTTCTATGAAATCTCAATATATTTTGGGTATAGATTTAAAAATGGTGCTACTCTGAGAGAAAAGGGACTGGGGACCCCTATATGGAGACTTCATCCTCCATTTCCTCTTACCACATCGTCCTGTGACAGTCAGCAAGACAATGCTGAGACACTGTGATCATCAGTTTGAAAACCACTAATCTAATCAAATATCCTCATTTTATAGATGAGGTTATTGAGATCCTCAGAGGCTAGCAGAACCAGAATCTGAATGAAGATCTCATGCATGGCTGCAAGTCCAATACTCTAATCCGTATGTCAAGAAACTACCTTCTCTCTCCAGATAAGAAATGAACACAAAGGATTTTCTTTCAATTTCCTGCAGTAAAGAGGGAAAGGAAATGAACTCAGTCTGAATTATACCAACTCTGCATCTGAACTCTCGGTCAAAATCTTGCACCTAGTATTATGAAATCTTCTTCCAGGATCTTAATTTAAAAAATTGACAATAGCAGCTATATCTTTCTTCACCAACAATATTAGGCACATTTAGAAAAGTGAGATTATTAAAGAGATGCCCATAAATCCACAACTTCAGCCACTATTAAAAACTCCATGATGGGGTATTAAAATATGATAGAAAATAAATTGCCACTGCTGGACCCATATTTAATAACTATACTACATGTTTTTTTCTACAAATAGCAGCCATCTGACAGTTATTTGAAAACTTAAAGAGCCAACTGCATTTTACTTTTGTTTCTCTGTTACACATAGAAACAGGTAAAATCTAAGGCCTGTCTGAGGTAATGAAGAAATATTTCATATATTTCACAGTCATATACTCAAACTTATCCACCATAATGATGATGTAACAGGAAAGTCACTGCAAATTTCTTACCTCCAGATCAATCATAAGTTCAATGAATCTTTCACAGTAATGAACTTTGTCCATAGTGACAGGTTCTGGACATAACAGACAGAACATGTTAAAATTTCCTTACTTAGAATCTACAAAGAACTTATCAAACTCAACACCCAAAAAACAAATAATCCAGTGAATAAATGGGCAAAAGACATGAACAGACACTTCTCCAAAGAAGACATCCAGATGGCCAACTGACACACGAAAAAATGCTCAACATCACTCATCATCAGGGAAATACAAATCAAAACCACAATGAGATACCACCTCACACCTGTCAGAATGGCTAACATTAACAACTCATAGATGTGGAGAACAAACTGAGGGTTGCTGGAGGGATTGTGGGAGGGGGGATGGGCTATATGGGTAAGGGGCATTAAGGAATCTTCTCCTGAAATCACTGTTTCACTATATGCTAACTAATTTAGATGTAAATTAAAAAAAAATAAAATAATAAAAATACTAATATTAAGTAAGTGACTTAGATTATCAGCATATGACAAGTTTTTCTATACACTTAGGCTGGGAGTAACATTACGCCTCAAATCAGGTATAGCTGATGTATACCATTAGTATCTATTCCTCACTAAATTATAGGTATGATTTTCAGTTGTAAAATATTACTTGGAAGGTTGGCATTTATAAGTAATTCTGTTCTACGTTAGTGTAAACAAAGCAACAATCTCTGATGCAAAAATATAAATATGGTATATCTACAGAACTGTTCTTAGATTATATCCCATTTATGATACACCTTACATAGTATATATACACCTTTATTAAGTAAAAAGGATTCTATGTAGAGCTTGCAAACCCAACATAATGTAATTAGCCCCTCTGGATATATAGGTATATCTCCCTCCCTCCCTCCCTCCCTCCCTCTCTCTCTCTCTCTCTCCCACACACACACACACACACAATTACAGTATAATCATGGCATATTTTTAAGTACATAGTCTACATTGCATATATTTGTATTTGTTTCATCAATAAATAGGGGCCACATTGGAGGGAATATCTTTCCCGTTTTGCCTTATAGCTTGTTATCTCAAAAATCACTGTCTCCTGTTCAATCAGTATTTGATGCTGTCTAAAAACACTATTCAGTACCACAGGATAAATGCCATGTGGGTCTGTGACTGACTTGTTCAACATTGTACCCTAACACCTTGTTTAGGATCTAGGTCTTGCAAGCAAACTCAAAAAATATTTGCTAAGTAAATGAGTATTTCAATAACTATATAAAAAGAGAGGAGAGAGAGAGAGGCGGAGGGAGAGAAAGAGAGAATCTTAAGCAGGCTTCACATTCAGCACAGAGCCTAACGCAGAGCTCAATCCCATGGATGACCCGAACCGAAATCAAGCGTCAGACACTCAACCAACAGGGCTTACCCAGGCACCCCAAAATACGTGAATTTTTAACGCAGTCATAATACTCAGACTGGTCATATATATGAAAAGGGGAGGGCAGGTACACTGTCTTTATGATTTAAAACTGTTCTAGGAGCAGTTTTTAGATTAGAGGCTAGTCAATACTATAGGATCATCTAAACCACAACTTCACAAATGAGCTGAGAGGAAGAAGATAGTTACCAGAAGGTGGCACTGATTTCAACACAGAGATAAACTTCTGGATGAGTTGTGAAAGGAATCTTCTTTCTTGGTAGGCTCTAAAATCAGAGAACAACGTTGACCAAATTGTTTTTGAAAAATAAATATTTCAAAAGTAAAATTTAAATGCTGAACAAGCTTTTCTTACACTATTCAAATGTTCCACTTCTCTCTGAAATTAGGATCATAATTTGAACACACACCTGCTTCTTTGTATGTATACACAAGACTATGTAAAGAAAAGAAGAGCCTCATTACCGGCCTAAATGAGCCAGCAAAGAAACACCACTTTCTCTTACCATGTTACTGTGAAGGTTTTCACTTGAGATTTAAAGGTCAGAACTTGAAAGGAGTTTTCAAAATTTCATTTACAGTCTGCCCTTAACATTCAAAATTTAACGTTTAAGTATATAGTTAAAACAAGCAATTTTATACTTTAGTATATTTTAAGTGTTATACATAATAGAGTATTACAATGTCTAAAACTTAAATGCTGGTTTAAAGAACACCTTTGTACTCATTACTAATTTAAGATGCACTGTGTACCAGTCAATCAACAAACATTCACCAGGTATTGGACAGCTGTAAATGATTATGCCAGTCCTGGGGGAAATACAAAGGAGGGGAATGACTACATGACCGGAAACAAGTCATATAACATGACGATAATCAGTAACACAAACCAACATGTAATTACTAAAACTGGCTGACATTAAATGAGCACTTACTGTGTCAGGATCTGAGCTGTGTTAAGTGCTTCACTCGAATAATCTCATTAAATGCTGACAACAGTCCCATTAAACAGGTACTACGGTTCCAATAGGTTCCAACTGAAGAACCTATTCTTTCAACAACTACACATGTATTTTTTAAAAAATGTTTTAATTTTTATTTTTGAGAGAGACAGAGAGAGAGAGAGAAAAGGAGCACAAGTGAGGGAGAGGCAGAGACAGAGGGAGACACAGAACCTGAAGCAGTCCCCAGGCTCTAAGCTGTCAGCACAGGGCCCAACATGGGGCTCAAACCCACCAACTGCGAGATCATGACCTGAATTCAGATGACCTTAACCAACTGAGCCACCTGATGCCCCTCAACAACTACACATATTTTAACTATTATACCAACAGCTGGAGTTTCAATAAAAAACACACAGCGTGGTTTGAAGTTCAGAAGAAAGCACAGTGGCTTGAAGTAGTTGGTCCAGAAGTGTTTGGAAGGTTAGCCTTCAATAAAGTGGAGTGGAGGGGAAAGGGTACTTAGGGAAGGAATGTTGAAGAAACAATGAATACCCAGGGATTTGGGGGAGTCACAAACAAAACAGCTGGAGGTTTCTGAATGCCACTGCAAGGAGTTTAGAGCTTCTCCTCTAAGAAGGAAACCACTGTTAAGCTTGTGAATAGGCAAAGCTTGTGAATACGGGAAAACGACAAAATTTTCTATGAAGATGGCTAGTTAGGCTCATTGTTGTGGGAAAGCTGGAAGAAACATCAAATAGGAATTCATTGTAATGCTTTAGTCAAGAGGCTCTGGAGGCTTGAATTAAGATGACAGCAGTGTGAACAGGCAAAAGGGAGGAAGGACAAAAGATCAACAGGATTGGCTGACTGGATATAAATTGCTGACCAAAGGACTGGAATATTCTAAGCCCAATTTCTGAAAGAATTAAGAGAAACTGGCCAGAAAATTAAGTTTAGGAGGGAAAACAATGAATATTACTTAAGCCAAACTGGAGTTCATGGCAAACAGAAGTACAGCTAACCCTTGAACAACACAGGTTTGAAATGTATAGGTCCACTCACATGCAGATTTTTTCAATAAATACAGCACAGTACTGGAAATATATCTTCTCTTCCTTAGGATTTTCTTAGTAATATTTTCTATTCTCTAAGCTTAATTTACTGTAAGAGTACAGTATATGATATACAAAATATACAAAATACGTGTTCACCAACTGTTATCAGTAAGGCTTCTGGTCAACAGAGGACTATTAACAGTTAGGTTTTTGGGAAGTCATGAGTTACATGAGGACTTGTGACTGTATGAGAGGGTGGCCAGTGCCCCTAATCCCTGCCCTGTTCAAGGGTCAACTGTATACAGCAAAGAATTATTCAAAGACAGGGCCAGAGAGATTTATGATTAAATAGGTTTAAGAAAGAGTAGGTTTAAGAAAAAATAGTCAAGTAATGCAGATGCCATGTGATTAGTCTAATCAAGAGGCTGTTGGGTGGGAAGACACCATGAATAATGAGACTAGAGATGGAAATTAAAGAAGGAATTTTCCTACCCTGTCCCTAATATTTTCTCCTCGTGGCTCTCACTCCCACCCACCCAAACTCATTTTTCTGACATGTAGCTTTTCTTAGTTCTTCCTATTTTCAGTAACCACCAGCACAACTCCAGGTTCCATTTCTTTTTGTCCTCAACCCTCTTTTCATGGTTTATGTATCTCACTAAATAATCTCATCCATACTCATGAAATTACCAGCTACACATGTATAGAGTACTCTCCAAAGGGGATCAAACAATAAGAAAAAAACAGAAAGTCATCATAGGTCCAAGGGAAGGGAGTCTTCAGCATATATACATATGCAGAAAAAAAGGAGTGAATGGAAAAGAGCAATAAAAGATGGAGACACGAGGTGCCTGGGTGGCTCGGTTGGTTAAGTGCCCAACTTTGGCTCAGGTCATGATCTCAGAGCTCGTGGGTTCGAGCCCCACGTCGGACTCTGTGCTGACAGCTCAGAGCCTGGAGCCTGCTTTGGATTCTGTGTCTCCCTCTCCCTCTGCTCCTCCCTCACTCATGCTCTGTCTCGCTCTCTCAAAAATAAACACTAAAAAAAAAAAAGATTTTAAAGATGGAGACAGCGCAAGGGGTATTGCTGCAGTAGTCACCGAGTTAGCCTCGCAGAGAGAGAGAGAGAAAAGCCTCTTAAGAGTATGTGGATCCTTCCCGTTTCCTACTAACAGCACTTTGTGTGGTGAAATAAATACTTGCTATCAGACTTCCCCAACTCATAATAAATAGTACTATTAAAAGAAACCATAATCCTCACCTGCTTCTTTAATCCTTATACTTGACTTATTTTTCTCCCTAACATGTATCACCATCTAATATACTATATAATTGATCTTTTTTTGGTGCTATCTGCCCCCAACTAGAATGTAAGCTCCACAGAATAGGAACTACTTCCATTTCATTCTCTATTATGTCCCCTATACCTAGAAGAGTACCTGGCAAAATGATAAACATTCACTAGTTGTTGAACGAATGAATGAATGAATGAATGAACAAACGAATGATGGCTGGAGTGTGTAAAAGTCACTATTAAGAGTAAGGGAGTGAGAAAAAGAAAGGAAAGTTGATTGATAGCTTGAAGATTGTGCAGAAAATTGAAAAACATCCATGACAGACAAACTACGGTCAAGAGGCAGGGAGAGGATCAATGATATACTTATCACTGGAGCAGAGAGAAGAGAAAGAAGAAAAACATGGTGATGTTGTGGTTCCCCCTTTAGACCTTTATGAAAAATATTCCTACGACAGTAAGAGCACTTCTTATTTATTTAGTTCAGCCTATATAAAGGAAACAACAAACCAATCAACATCATCTAGGACTTACAACCAAAATAATAAACCAATGTGGAACAAAATTTTAGCAACATACTGTTCTCTTGCTTCTGGATCCATCTTTTCATCATTCTTTTTAATCAAGTTCCAAAATTTTCTTAGCTTAGGGGTCTTTTTTAATTCTAATTCCAATCGTGCCTGAAAGAATGATGTGATATTAAATCACCAGTAACCTCAAAGTTTACAAAGGTAAATATTAGATCAACTATCAGCTAGTTTTCTAATGTGTGAATACAATATAAAGCAATGGGATAAAACCTGAAAGCAACACGACAAAACCTGAAAACTAAGAAACTAACAACTCTAATTTAAAAAAAAAAACTATTTAATTCTAACAATTGTTACTAATAATGTAAAAAAAAAAAAAAAGAAACTGCCTTTTCTTATGAAGGTCATAAGCTCAATAATCAATTAAATTCCTTATTTCTAAAATGAAGGATTTAAATTTGAAAAATATGAGCATTAACACTTATTAGTAAAATCAGTGAAGTTTGAAAAATGAGTCTAAAACAATGAACTTAGGAACAGCTGTCACAAGCAGACAAGGAAATGTCCATATGACTACATTCTTTCTAATGGCACTTATCAGTTAACTTAGCATTAAATAATTAGCTTAGCACTAATTATTTATATATGCCTGTTTTCATCACCATCAGCCGGTACCTATGAATGAGCTTGCATATTTGGCTCTATGCAAAAACCCATATGCAGGAAATGGTATTTTGAATAAAGTACTATACTAAAATTTGACAGTTATAACTTTACTCCCCAAGATCAGTTAATTGGGTTTTGATACAGGCACATATTATCCAATAAGGATTTGATGAAAAAAAGGAAGTCATTAAACATAATCCAGACCTTCTCTTATAGCTATATGTACATTCTAATCTAAGAAAATAAAATATTCTAGTCTATATTTAGTCTCATCCAAAGGCACATGCAGAAATAATCACCATAGTTTGCTAAATTTATCCCCCTTCTTTATGAACTCCATAGATATTATCTTATTTTACCTTATAATACTGACATGAGGTGAAATCTACTAGCTTGCAGATACATAAAAACTTTAAAACTGAAAAAAACTGCATCCATGACAAATTAATGCATAATAAATACATTTTGTAAACAGGAAAAGGGGTTTTTGGCCACCATTTTATACCTATGTTAAAGCTACAAAGTCTAAAACCACACTTTCCACTTGTAACACACATACGCCTTTCTGAAGATACTTACCGGCTGTAAGCCCATCCACATTGGGAGGGAGATTAGCTGCTGTACTTGACTCCGTATCAAGTCTACTTCCTGTTTAAGGCACAAAGAAAACAAATTTATACACACATCAGTATTTTAACTTAAATCTTTACATAAGGAAATACTGTCTTTTTAAGTCCCAGGGTGAAAACATGCCACCAATACTTTCAAATTAATGATATTTTAATATTAAGAAGCTTAATACTTTTCAAAAAAGATACAATCTTCATCATTTACAGATTCTGTATTTGCGAGTTCATCTATTCACAAATATGTATTTGTAACCCCAAATTCAATACGCCTAGTGCTGTCCAAGGGCGGCACAGATCAGTGAAAAATGCTAAGCTGCCCAACATGCAGTGGTTACAGACTTGAGGTTTTCAGCTGGGGGTGAACAAGGTAATGATCCGTCTTCTTGTTTCAGCTCTCATACTATAAAGAAGCATCCTTTTCTGTGTGTCTGTTCAGTGCTACCTTTCTCACATTTTTATGGTTTTTGTTGGTGATTTTGCTATTGTAAAGCACATGGTTGAAGTGCTGGTTAGTGTTCCTATGTGCAAGAAGGCTGTGGTGTGTCTTATACAGAAAATAAGTGTATTACAGAAGGTTCATTCATACTTAAGTTATAGTGTTTCTGGCCATGAGTTCCATGTCAATAAAGCAGCAGTATATATTACATAAGGTATCTTTAAACAGAAACACATAAAACAAGATTATGTACTGATGGAATGATGAAATGTTGTGACATTGGCTTGTAGGCACCCAACCCTTTATTCTCCCTAGGAGCAATGGTTCAATTTTAGCTAATTCAGTGTCGGCAGCTGCCTCATAGACCTAACTACCACAAATAATAAGTACTGATGGCATGTTGAAAAAAATAAAGTATTTCAATAATAAACAAGTTTTTCAGTTAACTAAACCAAGTACCAAACTACTAATACTAATTTCATCTTGTTTTTGCTTAATTTCTGATAATCATGTCTATATTTACATTGACATTGTTTAGTTTAATCAATGCTAGAGGTAATAGTGGCATCCACTGGGGGCATAAATCTTTTTTTTAATGCCTTTACAAGATTCATTTGAGGCAGGACCTAGAACAAGCAATAACTACCCATCTATCAACATTCAGTCTTCAGGATAAGAAAGAACCCTATGCATTCTCCTGCATGGGTCTAATGCACTCTCAGCTCAGTAGTAGTTATTTTTAAATAAATAGGTATAGACCTTCAGATAACCACAGCAGAGCACTGCAAATGAAATATTAATTACTGTAAATATTTAACTCTTTAGAAGGATGAAAACTGCACCTAATCGAGTGAACTCAAATTAGAACTCTCCTTCTTGCCTGCCAGCCATGAAACAGGACGAAAAAGTAACAAAGGTAGTTTTTGTGTGCAACTTATGGCACAGATCTCATTATGCAAAGTTCATAAAAACCAGATTCTTTGCTGCTCTATCTTTGGAGAATTTCCGTTCCTATTACCATTTTTCTTAAGAAAAAAGGAGAGATCCAGTACAAATCTAAATTTAGATCTAATATTTAGATCTAAATTTAGATCCAGTACAAATATGGCATTATCCATATTCCCCACTACCATTGGATGAAGAGTTGGCTACAGAGATAATCTCATTTATGTTCAACTTAAAAAAATAAAATAAAATAAAAAATAAAACCACCACCACCACCACCAAGAAAATCTGAGTTTCCCCCAAAGATAAAGTAAAATTACCAAACTATTGAAGCAATGATCAAGAAAAAGCAGTAAGACCGTCTGTTCATGGAGTGAAAATTCACCATCAGTTTCAGCTAATGCTGCTTTCAAGATACACTTAAAAAAAAATGGGAAGTGATCTGGCTTCTTCTTAAAAGTCTGAAGAGAGAAAGAATAAAAATTTAATTTGAAATGGCTTGCAAGCCCTCTCTTTTCTCCCTTAAAAAAAAAAAAGGTCATTCTTTAGAAGTCTATTAACAAAAGCAAATAATTGCAAAAAAGACTATTTGGTTATTTATAATTAACAGTAGCAAGTCAAATACAGGTTTCTGGCAAGATCATGAAAGAGTTGCAGAAAATTTCACCTAATAAAATAATGGGTTTTTTTTTTCTTGTTTTTAAAAATATTTTTTTCATTTTTTTTTAAGGAATCTCCACACCAAACGTGGGGCTCGAACTCAGGACTCCAAGATTAAGAGTCACATGCTCTACTGCCTGAGTCAGCCTGGTGCCCCTAAAATAATGGCTTTAATTCCTTTATTTTTTTTCTTTTATGGATTATGTTCAAATTTAGCTTAGTCTTTGTTTTCTAAGAATCTGAAATGTTTTAATTCTTATGACTTAAAGCAAGAAAAACAACATCTTTAGCAAAAGTTAGTTTCCCACTGATGACTCTCAATGACAGCCTCTCCTGCTTTGTATTAGCTCTTCACTTTCAACATGAAAATAATATTTTAAAAAAGTAAATTAGGTAAATACATTCAAGTTCCTCACTGAACTATGCCCCCCATCTAGTTACTTCCACATCCCTCTTCTTTCATAGAGAAGTGCTCCAAATGTGTGGTATACACTAGTTGCTTTCATGTACTTCTCTACAAGCTTCCACCCCAGCACTCCTCTGAATCTTGATCGCTATCAAAGACAATGGAATCTTACCAGCCCCCTACCCTAGCCCTCTACAATGTGCTGAGGGTTCCTCTTCTCTTGCTGCGTACACAGCACTATTCTAGGGTTCTAGCCCCATTCTTCTTTTCTCCCTCCCATGACTTCAAAGACCACACACTAATGATTCCAAATATATATCTTCAGTCCAGATTACTCTCATTAACCCTAGATCCCAAGATTCCTCTGCCTACTAGACAATTTCATCTAGATAACTGAAAGGCAATCTAAATTCAGGAAGTCCAAAACTCACTTCAACAATTTTGTACCCTTCAGAGTATTTCTCAACCCTCTATGATTACCTATCTTGGTAAATGGCAGAATCATCTATTATACTCAGTTGCCCAAGTCTGGAAAATTATTGAAAATAACACCCTTCCTTAATACTAATTATTCAGCTATGAAATGCAGTCAATTCTACTTTCTAGAAAATCTGTGTGTAACCTCTTTTCTTAATCTGTATTTCTCTTTTTCAAGCCCTAATCACCAAAATGGTCATTTTAACATGCGAACTGATCACGTCATTGTTTAGCTCAAAAAAAAAATCTTCCTTCTCCCTTCCTATAGTAGCTTGAATAAACTTCAAGAAATACCCAAGACCTTTCAATAGTACACAAAGCAGTTTACTTTGGGCTCTCATCTGCCCAAAGATGGCAATTATTTAATGAATATTCGAGAGAAGGATCTATGGGTTTATCTTAAAGAATCTAACATTTTCTTAATTCAGAGACCATTGCCACAAAAAGATGACAATTACCCATGCCTTTTTTTTATTTAAAAGAGTTGATGAGCTGACCATTTTATGGCAGCCAAAGAAAACCTAGACTTTGGACCTCTACTGAACAAGCCTCTATTACACTAGCACAAAGAAAAAATGTCTATTAGAAATTTCTAAAAGGGAAAGCAGACTCTAAATCAGGGATAAAGAGAAAACTGAAATTACAATATAAACATCTGTCTTTACGTTGGCAACATTACTGTACATAAAACTACAAATACATACTCCCTGTTGTGAAAAAGGACACTGAAAAATATTATCCTATTTGAGCACTATTTGCGCTAATAATACAAACTTCATGTTAATCTCAGGCAAAAGTTTTTATAATCCATGCCATTCTTCATATCAAGCACAAAACAAAAATAATTTCACTTTCATAATTTTTTAGTTCATAGTATATTAGTTTGAACAATGTATTGAAACAAAAAAAATAGCATTTTTCATGTATCCATTTTTTTCTCAACGTTACTTTATTATTGGGTGAAGTTTTGTTCTAAAAGTATTATTTGGGGGCATCTGGGTGGCTCAGCAGTTAAGTGTCTGACTCTTGATTTCAGCTCTGATCATGATCTCAGGGTTCATGAGTTCGAGCCCCATGGAGGGCTTTGTGCTGATAGTGTGCAGAGACAACTGGGAATTCTCTCTCTCTCTCTGCCCTCCCCCCACTAGCTTTCTCTCTCTTTCTCAAAATAAATAAACCTAGAAAATAAATATATAAAAGCATTATTTATTATCAGTAAAAAGTTCTGCTACTCTTTAATCCCTTAAAGTGAGCACAGTATGAAAGCTACGAAGTAATTTAAATCTGTTACCTCCCATGCAGGGACATTTTCTCTGAATTTCTCATTCACCATACAGCAGATTGACATTAAGTAGGCCTTGCTGGACACCTCTGGAGAATAATTCATCCAGAGGTAATTTTCAAGATACTGGCTGTGAAGAGTAAAAAAGCACAGAATATTTCATTAGTTATCACCACTCACTATATGTCACTCGCCTGGAAAAGCGTTAATTATCTAAAACTTTCTGAAAACTTTTAAAAAAACTATGTAACTTGAGAATCCTTCACAAATTTACCTATAATCTAGGTCCCTACCTGCTACAAACTTATATATAGCAATTGCAGCTTTGTAGAATGAGAGTTTACACTTTCAAGGTAGGAAGACAGCAAAGATTACTAATGTATGTAATTATCACCCTCAGAACACTGGATATTCCCTATCTAAGTCTCTTTGTGAAGTAAAAAGCCAAAATGATATAATGGGCAGGTTCAGCAGATAAATGTATCTAAGACCTTAATACTACCTCATACGAAGACCAACTGATTTCTAGAAACTAAAGAGATTTAACAATCAAAAAGAAGCTAATTTTAATACTTAATTTACTAGGTATATTCAACATAAGTCAATTTACAAGGCAACTAGGATTTTCCTCTTAAAATACCAAAATTCTTATTTTAAGACCGTGGTGAAAATATTCCTCAAGAAATTTAAGTATTTCTAATTTCTAAAATACAACTTAAGTCTTTTTTTTTTTTTTTTTTTTTAATCATTCAGGGTAGTTATAAACATCAATTTTAATACAGGGGTTAAAATACCCTCAAGCACTAAAAAAAGCAAGGTGTTTTATTCCCACTTTAAATCACTCCGCATGCATGCTGCAATCACTCACATATGTGTGTACGTACGTATGCACACATGCAACCATGCACGCACACCCACCCATAGTTAAGTGTTTATACTCCTCTATAGCACTGTAATTTTTCTACTTCCTCTTATGCTTACATCAGTATTTCCACAGGTCTATCTTTAGCAATACTTAGTTTATTTAGAAGAATCTTGAAAACTGAATAAGTGGAATTTTACCTGAAATAATGGTCAAGAGGCTCCAAGTAAGATACCTGAGTGCTCTTTCATAAATAATATGCACAAAGTTTCATTTCATTCCTCTCTTACAAGTATAAATTCCTTTTTCCTGAATTATGCCCTTCAGAACGTCTGTCAACAAGTCTGTTAGTGTTAATCTATCTGAAATTTCTTTATTTCATGATAGTTTAGCTGGTTATACAATTGTTTCTGGGTTGTTGGTGATTTTTTTCTTGTATTAGTCTCATTCTATTCCATTCTCTATTACTACAACTGAGAAATCTACAATCTATGCGTTCTTTATGTTTTTTTTCCCCTCTAGCATACGGTAAGATCTTCATTCCATCTTTACCACTCTTCAGTTGCTCTATTCAGAATTTACTGTACTTCCTGAATCTAAGACTCCCATATTTCAACTGTAGAAATTCTCAACCACCATCTCTTCTAAATTGCTACTCCTCTTTTCTAAATCTCTTCTGAAATTGATTGGACTTTCTAATTTTAGCCTTTGTATCTCTAAATTTCCTTTTATATTGTCATCCCTATTTCTCTTTGCTATTATCTAATTAATTTCCTATATTCCAATTCACTAATTTCCCTCTTGCCTGTGTCTAATCTGCCACAGGCCTATGTTGTTTTATTGTGCGTTGCTTTATTCATTGCAGATGTCGCATTTTTCAAATTGAACGTTTGTGGCAATGCTGCACTGAGCAAGTCTATTAGCACCATTTTTTCCAACAGTATTTGTTCACTTTGTGTCTGTCACGTTTTGGTAGTAAGATTTACCAAAAAATTGGCAACAGGATATTTCAAACTTTTTCATTATTGTTATATTTGTTAGGGTAATCCATGATTAGTAATTATGACTTGTTGAAAACTCAGATGTTTAGCATTTTTTAATAATAAGGTATTTTTAAATTAAGGCATGTAAATTTTTTTAGACATAATGGCACTGCACACTTAATAGACTACAATATAGGTACTATAAATATAACTTTCATATGCACTAGGAAACCAAAAAACACATCTGCCTTGGTTTATTGCAGTGGTCTGGAAATGCCCCTGCAATATCTCCAAGGTATGCCTGCATTTAATTTGTCCATTGAATTTTTAAATCTCAAACGTTTTTACTTCCATTTTCTCCAAATCTACCCATTTTTAGCATCTTGTTCCATGTTCACATATTCAATTTCTTCTTTTATACTTATAGTAACTTTAAACATACTATTTGATGGTATATATAAATTATTTAATTATCTCAGGTCCTGGGTGGGCAGGGTGGAGAACGAATTCTGTTCTTTCAACTTGCTTATAGTTGATTCTTATCCTAATGTGCTTTGTAATTGGGAGTTTGAACTCACCTTTACCAGGGTTTTATCTATGGGAATTTTTGTGCAATAGTTGGAATATATAAGTGTATATTTGTTTCTGCCACATGCCTCAGAGATATCACTGGCTTGCCACAGTTTTTAACAGTAATGTTTTATTTTGGGAGTTAAGTAACAGCAAACTCCAAACCCATTCTTTACATTTTCAGATGAGGAATCAAGGCTATGAGAGTAAATGATTTGCTCAAGATGATACAGGTATGTGGGTGGGAGGATGGGTGAAATAGATGATGGGGATTTAGGAGTGCACTTGTCATGATGAGCACGGAGTTGGAATTGATGAATCACTATATTGTACACCTGAATCTAATGTAACACTGTATATTAACTATAGTAGAATAATAATAAAAAAGGTATACTCCATCTTTAACTTTGTCTTTAAACTCACCTAAATTCCAAGAGCATTATCTTTCTGATGGCAAACCTAAAAGTGTAAAAGTAAAAATAAAAGTGTTTAAACAGAAAATACAAACATTTCAGAGTTACTGATGCAGATGCATTTTGGAATCTTGTGTTAATATTGACTCACATAGCAGAATAATCATATTTTAATATACATTGAGAAAAGCTAAATTTGCTTCTATATTTTTTCTTTATATTTCATCAGGGTAGTTTATTTTTAAAACTTTTTTTCTTTAATGTTTATTGCTTTTTGAGAGATAGAGACAGAGTGTGAGCAGTGGAAGGGCAGAGAGAGAGGGAGATACAGAATCCAAAGCAGGCTCCAGGCTCTGAGCTGTCAGCACAGAGCCTGATGTGGGGCTCGAACCCACGAAATGTGAGATCATGACCTGCCCCGAAGTTGGAAGCTTAACTGACTAAGCCACCCAGGTGCCCCCCATCTTATTTTTAAAACCAGAAATTACTTAAGTGAAATCTTTTTTATTTTTTTTTAATGTTTGTTTATTTTTGAGAGAGACAGAGACAGAATGTGAGTGGGTTAGGAGCAGAGAGAGACAGAGATACAGAATCTGAAGCAGGCTTCAGGCTCTGAGCTATCAGCACAGAGCCTGACATGGGGCTCGAACTCACGAGCTGTGGGATCATGACCTGAGCCAAAGTCGGACGCTCAACTGACTGAGCCACCCAGGCACCCCTACTTAAGTGAAATCTTATCCTACTCATATAACAAACACAACAAGCACCACAACACAGAAATATAACATATAAGTTAAAAAGGCAAGTAATTTTTTTTAAAGTTTATTTTTGAGAGACAGAGAGAGCGCAAGAGGGAGAGGGACAGAGAGAGGGAGACACAGAAGCAGGCTCCAGAATAAGGCAAATAATTATAATCAAAACACAAATGTTCATCATTATTCATAACACTGGATCACAACTGCCAAAACCTAACCTATCTTAATTTCTTAGCATTGACCACCATTCTTTTTTTAAGCTTATTTAGAGAAAAAGAGTGAGAGAGAGAGAGCATGTGTGTGCCGGAGCATGAGCAGGAGAGGGGCAGACAGAGAATCCCAAGCAGCCTCCACACTCAGTGGGACTCAAACCCACCAACCATGAGATCACAACCTGAGCCAAAATAGTCAGATCCTCAAACAACTGAGCCATCCAGGCATCCTACCTAAAGTCATGCCCTCCTGAAAGTACAAGAGACACATGTATCTATATCACAAACAAAGGAATCAGACTTTTCAAAGGTTTCATAAGTTTTGACATTAAGTCTACAAAATTAGAAAATTGTGGAAGGAACAACAGGTTTTGGCTAGGATGCGGAGGAAGGGAAACTCTTTTGCACCGTTGATAGGAATGCAAAGTGGTGCAGCCACTCTGGAAAACAATGTGGAGGTTCCTCAAAAAATTATAACCCAGCAAATGCACTACTAGGAATTTATCCAAAGGACACAAAAATGCTGAGTTGAAGGGGCACATGCACCCCAATGTTTATAGCAGCGCTATCAACAATAGCCAAAGTATGTTAAGAGCCCAAATGTCCATCGACTGATCAATGGATAAAGATGTGGTATGTATATGTGTGTGTGTAGCGCGCGCGCGCGCACACACACACACACACACGGAATATTACTCAGCAATGAAAAATAATGAAACTTTGCCATTTGCAACAATGTAGATACAACTAGAAGGTATTATGCTAAGTGAAATAAGTCAGAGAAAGATATCGTATGATTTCACTCATATGTGGAATTTGAGAAACTCCACAGATGAACACAGGGGAAGGGAAGTGAAAAATAAGATAAAAACAGAGAGGGAGACAAACCATAGGAGACTCAAATATAGAGAATAAACTGAGGGTTGCTGGAGGGGATGTAAGTGGGAGGACGAGTTAAATGGGTGATGGGCATTAGGGAGGGCACTTTTCAGAATGAGCACTGGGTATCATATGTAAGAGATGAATCACTGGGTTCTACTCCTGAAGCCAACACTGTTCGTTAACTAACTTGAATTTAATTTAAAAAAAAAAAAAAAAGAAAAGAAAATTGTGGAAGGAATATTAGCTCTCTTTACTGTCTATTTTTAATACAAGTATTGTACTTCATGCATAAATGATGCTGTAGCTACCAGGTAACTCTCTAAAGGCTGGTTCAAATGTCCACTAATTTAGTTTTATCATTTTGTATACTGGAAATAAAGCAGTCAGACCAGAACACTGCCACTAGATAATATTCTCCAGCTTAGAAAGTTAAATGTCTATGCATTACGAATTTATAATACGCCAGGAGACCATTACCCTGTCAAAATCCTGTTCCACTGACTTCTGATCTCTTAAATAGTTTCACTAAGCAAGCAGTGTCACAGAACTTTAGTGAGAATAAAATGCAGGTTTTTATTGTGCAAAAAAGCACAAAGATACAACACTGGCAAGGTACTGGCCTCTACAGCCAGCCAGGTCACTGAGTGGATACAACATCTTGTGTGTCAGACACACTAGGTCTCCTTCCAGCTGCAGACACTTCACTTTAATAGCATGCTGGAGAACAGAATTCACTCAGTGCCCACTATGCACAAAACTGCATGCTTCATTTCATCAGCCAAATAGGACCTCATGATGAAAGAGAGAAAAAATACCAGCACATGAGACAGAAGACAGTATTCTGGTCATGATTCAGTGTTACCCTGACAACATCTTTTAAACACTCTGGGACCCAGTTTCCTCATACTCAAAAGAGGCAAAGTGGCCCATTTATTTCTGGATGACTAGACAAGAAAAAAAGAAGTCATGGGTCAAGATAAAACAAAAAACACTCTGAAAAACACTCAATTTCTCTTCTAGCAATTTTGGCCATACTCATTAAATTTGGAGTTTTATGCTTCTGCCAATAAGTTTTGCTATTGTAATTGCCCGCTGCTTCTTCTCTTGGGATATGGTTGTGTGAAAACATGAAGTCTAAGGTTGTGGCAGCCCGCTTGCAACCATACAGGGAAAGCCAAAAAAACCCACACCTGTGAAAAGGCTGACGAAGGCCCTCACATGAACTTCTGAACTACCCATTTCCAGATTTATTATAAAGTAGATGATTAAGGGGTGCCTGGGTGGCTCCGTCGGTTAAGCGTCCAACTTTGGCTCAGGTCATGATCTCACGGTCTGTGAGTTTGAGCCCCGCATGGGGCTCTGTGCTGACGGCTCGGAGCCTGGAGCCTGCTTCGGATTCTGTGTCTCCATTTCTCTCTGCCCCTCCCCCGTTCATGCTCTGTCTCGCTCTGTCTCAAAAATAAATAAACATTAAAAAACAAATAAAAAATAAAGTAGATGATTAAAAAAAACAAATAATAGTGAACAAAAGAGGTCAGCCACAAAAGAGTGTATGCCATGTGGTTCCATTTATTCAAAACAACCAAAACTACAGTGTTCATGTTTCCATACTTACATTTTACAGTGTTAAAGCTAAAGGCTATGAAAAGGCCTCTGGGATGCTGACAAATGTTGGCTTTTATTACCTTGGTGGTGGTTATGAATGATAATAATTCAGAAGGCTATACATTTCTGTTTTATGCTCTTTTCTGTGTTAAATTTCATAGTAAAGGAGTTTAAACATTTTTTAAGTCTTTTTTTTTCCTTATTTAAGTAATCTCTGCACCATGTGGGGCTCAAACTGATAACCCCAAAATCAAGAGTTGCATGCTCTTCTGATTAAGTCAGCCAGGCCCTCTGGGGTTTAAATATTTTAAATGAAAACAAATATAAACATGGGCAAAAGTAAACTACACAATAACTCACTTTTTTCCTGCACAAAACCCACTTAGATGTATTCGTAACAGAATTAACAGCCATAACCAAAGTGTACTGGTGAGGGGAGTTCTAAAAGGCAATAGACCCTGTACATAGTACTGGAAAAGAGTCAAAGAACCAGGATTTAATACCTGGCTCTTCCTCTAACTGGGAAACATTTTGAGCTAGCTACTTAACCTCTCTCTGTACTGCAGTTTACTCATCAATAAAATGAGGATAATAACAGTGAGTAGCACAGGGTTGTCGTGAGGAAAAATGAGCTACTATATATGCAAGGTGCTTAGAGCAGAATCTGGCACATAGTAAGCACTCAACAAATAATAATTACGATTATTTTGAAGGCTTTAAAATTAAACAGATGAAAATATGTTAAGACACGCTTGCCAAATTTGATAATGGTAAGGATAGCAAATATGAAATCAATCACATGGCTTATTGGGCAATATATTTTACTACTTTTGAGATCCTAAAAGTTATCATTTATACCATGAGAATATTAAGAACTGACTGATTTATTTCCCAGATGCCTCCTTTAGAAATAGGGTTGATATGCAAAAATGTATATTACAAGAACCTTAATGTAGAATACTAAAGAGTACCTTATGGCTGGCTATAAGTGGCCTATTTTGATAGCCTACAAACAAGTTAATAATCTTACATCAAGTCATTTCCCCAGTAATGAAGATGCTATCAGCACATAACTCAGCAAAACAGCTTCCTCAGGCACTAGTCTAAAAAATTGTCGTTTAAAAATTTAAATAAACATCATTTACATTAGGGATAGGGATTAAAGACTATGCTTATCATGATGAAAAACATATATACATTATAGTTTCTGTGTTATGGAAGTGCATTTAACTTTTTGAACTTTGAGATTTGGAAGCAGAATGTAATCAGCTTACTTTCATTTAAGTATTCAACAATGTATACACGACGAGAAAATGGCTATTAAGAGAGCCATAAGTCCTAGTGAGTCTGGCCAACAAGTTACTTCCTTCAGCAATTAAAAATAATGTAGCCAAATATATAACTTATAAATCACTGGCAGTGGTTATTAGTTACATAAAAACTATCTTTAAGGAAGAAATATTAATAGCTAAAGTTAAATGAAACAAACAAAAAACAAGCAATTACTATCCACTGGAATAAAAGCCTGTTCTGAAAAAGACAGAAAACTAGTTGTGAAGGTCCAAGATAATTTTCAGATTGGTATATCCTTAATATGTAAGAAAAAAGAATCCTAGAATTTATCTACCCATTCATTTAAGTTTTCTCAGGCAATTTCATCCATACCCAATGCCAGACCAATAAGACATATGTTAAATTAAATACCTGCTCATATGTTCATATATTCAGAGGATTCCCCTGATCATTCAATCTAAAAAAGCCCTTGTCACTACCCTAAACACACTTCTTTTTTTTAAGTTTACTTATTCATTTTTTGAGAGAAAGAAAGACACAGAGTGTGAACGGGGAAGGGGTAGAGAGAGACAGGGAGACACAGAATCCAAAGCAGGCTCCAGGCTCTGAGCTGTCAGCAAAGAATCGGACATGGAGCTCGAACCCATGAACTGTGATACCTGAGCTGAAGTTGGATGCTCAACTGACTGAGCCACCCACATGCCCCAGGAGAGAGAGAATCTTAAGCAGACTCCATGCCCAGCATACAGCCCAACATAGGGCTTGATCTCACGACCCTGGGATCATAACCTGAGCCAAAATCAAGAGTTGGACACTTAACCAACTGAGCCACCCAGGAGCCCCTAAACACACTTTATTTTAATTCATAGCACTTACTACCTGCTGACATTATATACCTCTATATTTCCTATCTGTCTAGACTAGAAATAGAGCATAAGCTCGGTGAGCAGAGACTATCTGTCATGTTCACTGTTGTACCCTTAGCATTGAAATGGTAGTTGATAAATGTAGGCTCAACCTTGTCCTCTTCTGAGCTCTACACGGAGATACCCAATGGCTTATTCTACATCTCCATCTAAATGGCTCTTTAGTACCTAGAATTCAACATTTCCAAAAGTGGACTATGATCTATGCCCAACCCCAGCCCTAATGACAATAGCAGAAGTCAGTAATGGAATCACTCACTAATCACCGGGCAACCTGAGCCAAAAACTTAGAAGTCACCCTTGATTCCCCCCTTTCCCTAACCCACCAAGTCCAACGAGCAACCGTCTTTTCATTTCTATCTCAATTTGGCACTCTTCTCCACCTTCAAACGTCATTCAAGCCATCATTATCGTGAACCTAACTACTACAATACTCACCCTTATTTCCTGCTTATCAACTCTAAATTCTTTTTTTAAAAGATCATCATCATGCTTACAACTCTTAACTGGCTTCCCATTATTCTTCAAATAAGACACAAAATCTTTAACATGGTCTTTGGCCCTGTCTCCTTTTACATGCTCACGAATCAATCATTAAAGCAAAAACAATTAGCCTCTTATTTTGACAACATGGATTTACCTTCACGATATTTAGTAAAATTAACCTTCTAGGAATCAAACACATGAAAAATAACAAATCTGAGATTTTAAAGTTTTGTTACATTCATAACCTAAATGTTTTCATTTCATATTAAAACACTTAGGGGCACCTGGGTGGCTCAGTCAGTTGAGCGTCCGTCTTCGGCTCAGGTCATGATCTTGCAGTTCATGGTTTCCAGCCCTGTGTAGGGCTCTGAGTTGACAGCTCAGAGCCTGGAGCCTGCTTCGGGTTCTGTGTCTCCCACTTTCTGCCCCTCCCCCACTCATGCTGTCTCTGTCTCTCTCTCTCAAAAATAAACAAACATCAAAAAAAAAAAACACACATTTAGTCAACTGTCCTTCCACGATACTCACTGGGCATCCATGTCTGCAGGTGCAAATATAAAAATATGCCTCAGGGGCGCCTGGGTGGCGCAGTCGGTTAAGCGTCCGACTTCAGCCAGGTCACGATCTCGCGGTCCGTGAGTTCGAGCCCCGCGTCAGGCTCTGGGCTGATGGCTCAGAGCCTGGAGCCTGTTTCCGATTCTGTGTCTCCCTCTCTCTCTGCCCCTCCCCCGTTCATGCTCTGTCTCTCTCTGTCCCAAAAATAAATAAACGTTGAAAAATAAATAAATAAATAAATAAATAAAATAAAATAAAAATATGCCTCAAATGCATTAGTTTAAAAAAAAAAAAGACACGATATGGAATGGTGTGTAGAGTATAATCTTTCTGTATTTAAAAAAAAATCAGGGAGGGGGCTAGATACAGATATATATGTAGATAAATTGAGGGTTAAAGGATAGGGAAGATTTCTTGAAACTTACCTCCTTCTTTACATTGTTCAAATATAATTTTCATTTTTTATTTTTATTATTTTATATATATGCTATACATCATTTATAAAATGTATATTTTACTACTTTGTATAAAGTATTATTATGTATGTTTTACTTTTATAATTTTTTTTTTTATTTTTTTAAATTTTTTTTTTTCAACGTTTATTTATTTTTGGGACAGAGAGAGACAGAGCATGAACGGGGGAGGGGCAGAGAGAGAGGGAAACACAGAATCGGAAGCAGGCTCCAGGCTCTGAGCCATCAGCCCAGAGCCTGACGCGGGGCTCGAACTCACGGACCGCGAGATCGTGACCTGGCTGAAGTCGGACGCTTAACCGACTGCGCCACCCAGGCGCCCCAACTTTTATAATTTTTAATAGTATTTTTAAAAGATTTATCAAAGAAAATTAGTATTAGTTCAACTGAAATAAAATCTCCATGTTTACTGTCCCTCATGTTTCATCAGAAACAAAATAAACCTGATGGGATTTAATCCCTCTAAATGAAGTCAAAAATTAGGAAGCAAGAAAATAATGTATGGCTCTTCAGCAGCTACATATAAAGTTTTTCTAGCCACCATCTCCCTGATAACAAAATCTAACAGAAAAATAAAAGGTCCAAGTTATGATCCCATTTAGCTTAGAAATACAGAAGAGATCCAATTTGATCCCACCTAATCCCTATGTATGAAAATTAAACTCATTCTTACCTCGATTTGACAATCTCTTTTTCATATATATCTTCAATGACCTGTTATCAAAAATATAAAAATGTTTAATATTTCAAACATTTTTTATCCTAAATTGATAGTTTTCTATTACTGAGTTACTGAGATTACACAAAATAAGTTGGTTTAGGATATCAAATACTACTGAAATAATAATTAAGAGATCTTTATAATCTCATCACATTCCTCAAAATGTAAAATAACAGAAAGCAAAGTTGTAGAAGAAGATAAATAAAATATGTCTACATAAAAAGATTCCTAGAAACAATCATTAAACGATATGTTCAAGGTGGCTCTATTGTGAACGTTTAAGATGACTTATTCATAATATTTCTAGGAAAAATAAAAATTCACAAATAAGAATATTTTAAAAAACTTAAAAGTATGTTATCAGACTCCATGTAAGAATGATAACAATGTACTTTCAAAAGCCAGACAGTAAACTAGAAGTGTGAAGACATAAAAGAAGCGGATTACAAGTTGGTTTTCCAAATACACACAATAAAGCCTCAGAATTTCAATTCTTTTGGGTTAGTGAGGCCAGGATGCTGTGATACTTCAGAATTCAGCATTGATGTTGGAAGCCTAGTTCAAATCACCCATTTTCATTGCAGATAGCTAGAAACCTTGCCTAGGACAGCTCTAAGGCTCACTTTCCCAATCTACAAAAAGGATCTACACAAAGTATCCCACAGGGTTGCTACACAAAGTATCTACACGAAGTATCCCACAGGGTTGCTATAAATAAGATACCACATGTAAAGAATTTAGTGCAAATGTTGGCATATGGTGAGTCTTTAACAACAGTTACCAGCAGAAGTCACAGAAGTGCTACTAATAATACTTAAAAAAAATCCTACTGTAAAATTATGAAGTTCTTTAACATGGTCATATATTTTACTCTAGCTATATCTTTTAACTGCCCAAAGTTATTTGTCACGTAAATGTGGGTGATAGAGGGAGGAAGACAGTGAGGCAAACAAGTCTTCAATTTAGAAAAAATTTCTGTTATTGCTTTTCTTTTTATAAAAATTCAAATTAAATAATAAAATGAAAGGCATAATCTTTAAATACCAACCTACAATAAAGTTCTTCTAAACAGATATACATAACTTCATTCAGTATTATAACTAGTGTTAACTAAAATGATCTGGATATAATCTTTGAAAATCTAAATATAGAGCTGAGCCTGGGTGGCTCAGTCAGTTAAGCATCCGACCTCAGCTCAGGTCATGACCTCACACTTCACGGGTTTGAGTCCCGTGCTGGGCTCTGTGCTGACAGCTCAGAGCCTGGAGCCTGCTTCAGATTCTGTGTCTTCTTCTCTCTCTGCCCTTCCCCTGCTCGTGCTCTCTCTCTCTCTCAAAAATAAATAAAAACATTTTTTAAAAATTAAAAAAATAAAAATAGATGAAAATCTTAACAATTAGGTTCAACTCAATCTAGTTGCTTCATTAAAATATTCTTGTTATTAGTGAAAAATGACCCTAGGAACCCCCAGACAACATATACAAACACATACAAACAGCATATAAAATAAAGCAATTCTGGTAGTAATTAGAGTGATTAACACATACATGTTTATGAATACCTCTCGACGAATACAGGGATTGCAGGCAAAACAAAAATATATTTACAAATGAAACATTTAAGCTCAAATAACGTAAGAAATTTCTGGTTAAGGGGCATCTGGGTGGCTCAGTCGGTTAAGCGTCCAACTTTGGGTCAGGTCATTGATGGTTAGTGAGATCAAGCTCCACACTGGGCTCTCTGTTGTCAGTGCAGAGCCCACTTTGGATCCTCTGTCCCCCTCTCTCTCTTTCTGCCCCTCCTGTCTCGCTATCTCTCAAAAATAAAGTGTTAAAAATTAAAAAAAAAAAAAAAAAAAAAAAAAGAACTTTTCGGTTAAGTTCAGTTTTACCAAGCGTGCCTAAAGCATCACAACTCAATTTACAATGGCAGAACCTAAAGGGAGTCTTCATTAGCTGACCCTTGAACAATGGTGCCAATCCCCCACACACTCAAAAATTCATGTATAACTTTGGACTTTCCCCAAATTTAATTACCAATAGTCCACTGTTGAACGAAAGACTTACAGATAACATAAACAACACATTTCATATGCTATATATATTATATACTGTACTCTTACTGTATCATATATTGTATGTTATATACAGCATATATGTATATAGCATATACTGTATGCTTACTGCATATACTGTATTACACACTGCTAGAAAAATAAAACACTACTAAGAAAACCATAAAGGGGGAGCCTAGTGGCTCAGTTGGTTAAGCATCTGACTTCGGCTGGGTCATGATCTTGCGGTTCGTGAGTTTGAGCCCTGCATCAGGCTCTGTGCTGACAGCTCAGAAAGTGGAGCCTGCCTCAGATTCTGTGTCTCCCTCCCTCTCTGCCCATCCCTGCTTGCACTAGTTTTTCTCTCTCTCTTTCAAAAATAAACATTAAAAAAAAAATAAGGAAGAAAAGACACATTTATAGTACTATACTGTGGATGTATATATACATACATGTATACACAGACCCATGTAGTTCAAACTTACGTTGATCAAGGGTCAATACTTGTTAAATGGCATTCAATGTTATCTCTGTTTCATTTAAAGATCTCTCTTTTTTTTTTTTTTTTTTCTTTTAAGAATCTATTTCAGGGACTCCTGGGTGGCTCAGTCAGTTAAGTGTCTGACTCTTGATTTTTGGCTCAGGTCATGATCTCATGGTTGGTGAGATCAAGCCCTGCATCCAGCGCAGTGCTGGATTCTTTCTCTCTGACCCTCCTCAGCTCCACACAAGCATGCATATGCTCTCTCTCAAAAATAAGCAAAAATAAATTAACAAAACAAACAAACAAAAGAAAACAAAACATTTCAATGAGAATGAATCCTACATTTAGGAATTTTTGTTTTCATTTATCCTAAATTGTTCCAGTTGAACCATAAGTCCATTCCCTTATTTAAATATTACTGGTCTTTAGTTATCTATCCTCTACCCTAAACAACTCCCACTGCTTCCACCATTTTTACAAATTTTTATCTCAGTTCATCAACCTAAAAATTAAAAAAAATATCTTCTATCCTACCTGTACTGTCAAAAATTATACAGAAATTCCTGTATATTTACAAAGATATTCATTACATGGTCATTATAATAATGATAAATTTAAAATAATCTAAGAATCTATAAACAGGAAAACAATTAAATTATACACACAATTTTTGAAAAGCTTAACACAGTAAAACGACAATAGAGGTGATCTCTGGGTAGTGATTTTTATTTTCTAATGTGTAACTTCTACATTTTCCAAATATTCTAACATGAGTAATTGTTAGTCTGATAATTAGAAAAGTGTAATTTGAACTTAAAAAGAAATCATGGAATGCTTCTGTTGAATTAGCCCTTAAAAAAAAAGATACAAAGAACGTACCTATTCAAAAAGAATGTTGTAAACCAAAAGTACTTACCTTTATATCAAAAGGTGATTTTTTCTTGATATGCGGAGCCCAGTACTTACATGCTAACTGCAAAAGTAAATAGTATAAACAATAAGTCACAGGTTCGTATCATTGTCGAGCACAAAGACTGAGATCATATATCAATAAGCTATTTTTTAACAAACACTACAGGCACTGGGGGACAGAGTAATTCTACTTTCTAAGAGGACTATATGGGCAAGCAGGCCAGTTAGCATCCTTGGCCCCAGCCCACTAAATGCCAGTAAGGCCCTGCACTGCACTCTGTCATTGTAATTTTAAAAAACAAAATATACTTTTCTAATCACCACTAAAGAAACGGTAGGACCCAATTAATAATCACAGTCAAATATCTTCAGCTAGAGATAAGAAAACCCAGGAACCTCCTAGAAAGAACACCCTAGAACCTACAGATTAAGTGAGCTACCCAAGATTACAATTAGTTAAGAGTTGAGCCAGTATTAGAAAAACAGATTCAAAATCTTCAGTTATATGTATAAAACAATAACATTTAAGTGATTAGTGGACACATGTAACAAAACCTAAAAAGTTATCTATAAGCGGATTATTACAAAGAATAAAAGAGCTGGTATACTTTAGCAGATTTGGTTTCACTTGGAAATTGTGAATTCTAAACACATACATTCAATATTTCCACATACATTCAATATTTCCAGACATTTAGCTGTATTGCATAATATTATATTCAAGAAAAAAATGGTTTTATTAATATATGTTTTTTAAAGAAACTCAACTACAGGGGCACCTGGGTGGCTCAGTCAGTTAAGCGTCTGGCTTCAGCTCAGGTCATGATCTCGCGGTCCGTGAGTTCGAGCCCCGCATCGGGCTGTGTGCTGACAGCTCAGAGCCTGGAGCCTGTTTCAGATTCTGTGTCTCCCTCTCTCTGACCCTCCCCCGTTCATGCTCTCTCTCTGTCTCAAAAATAAATAAACGTTAAAAAAATTTTTTTAAAAGAAACTCAACTACAATCTCTTGAAAAATGAAAACTCTAGCAAGCACAAAGACTCAATATATTCATAAAAAAGTGAATCTGCACAGGGTCTAGTGTACTGGAGGAACTCAAATAATAGCTGATGGACTGATGTATGCATGTAGGCATGTGTGCATGGATGAATGAACAAATAAAATAAAATCTGAAATGGTTACCTCTTCTGTGAAGCCTTCCTCAACCCTACCTGATGGTGATAATTACTTCTGAACTCTACTGAATAGTCTTGTGTTTCTGTATTATTATTTGATTGCTTATCTAGCTTTCCTGCCCACTTAACTGGAACACTTATGAGATGGGACCCGTGTCTTCTTTGCTTCTATAGCTAAGCACTTATCACAGTAAACACACTCAAAGGGCCTTTCAAGCAGTGAGGACATTGGTCTTGACGAAGTCTCTCCAAACCAGTAAAATAACGGCCCACTTACGTGATACCTTACTAAACTATCAATCACCCTCCAACCTGAGAGAAAATACTTCACCCTCAGTTATTCTATGCTAGTCTCATTTCCTTATTCCACTGCCTATGACATCTAGCCATCTTTTCTTTACCTCATACCATTAAGAGAACTGAATCTGCTCTGTTTTTATGATTCAGGGTCTTCCAAATAACTATGTAAATCCTATCTTCTGATCCAAACTGCTTACTGTAAATATATGATACAGCTTTTCCCTTAGGGTGTAACCTGTGACCTCTCTGACACTACCACCCCCAGGAATATACTGCCCTCCCCAACACTCTCCAGCCTCACTCAAAATAGAAACTCTTCCCAATTCCCACTTAGCATAGCCCCTCTCTCCTCTCAAAAATAAATAAACATTAAAAAAAAATTAATTAAAAAAAACCCAAACTACTGTATTGAGAATGAAATCCAAACTTAGCCTCCAAGTGTATATGATCTGATCCCTACATAGTCTCATTTCATACCATTCTCTTACTTTTTAAAAACATTTTTAAAGTTTATTTATTTATTTTGAGAGAGACAGAGACAGCATGAATCGGAGAGGGGAAGAGAGAGGAGAAAGAGAATCCCAAGCAGACCCTGCACTGTCAGCACAGAGCCTGAAGTGGGGCTCGAACCCACTAAACTGGGAGACCATGACCTGAGCAGAAACCAAGAGTGGGACGCTTAACTAACTGAGCCACCCAGGTGCCCCTCTCTCCTGTCTCTTATGTTTGCTATCTTGGCCTTCTTGATATTCACACCACAGGGCATTTGCACTTGCTATTCCCTGGACTGTTTTCCTGTTCTTCCCAAAACTGGCTCCTACTTTGCAGTTAGGTCTTAGCTCAAATGTCACCTCAGCTAGGACTTTCCTGACTGCCTTTCATACACCCCACCCCCATCACTGTCACAACACCGTTTCATTTTCCTGACAGCACTTATTACTGTTTGAAACTATACTGCACCTTTGTCTGACTCATCTCTGTATAATGCAAACTTCTTAAGATGAGGAAACTAATAAACGGCTTTAACCACAAAATGCAGGTAAATGGGAAAAGGGAGATCTAGTTAAAGTTGTCAGGAAAGCTACTCCAAAGTAACAAAGATGGATGACAATGAATTAACCATATAAAGAAAGGTGGGAGAGGATGAGGATTCTGAGCAGAAGGAACAATGCTGAAAGACCAGGAGGTAAAAGCATGGCAAATTCAAATACAGGCAGTTCAGTGTGGCCGAAGCAGAGTTAGAAAGAGAGAGAAAAATGGATGTAAGCACAGGCCAATACTTTAAAGGATCCTAGTCATTACCCTAAGGAAAATTAGGACTCTTTAAAGATTTTAAGAAGGTAAGTGATATGATCAGATTTGCATTTGCGTAAAATCACTCACAGCAATATGAGCAATATGAAGAATGGGCTGGAGGAGAGCAAGAGGAAAGACAAAAGATTTGGATGCCTAAGTCCAGAGAGAAAACAAGGGCGACCTGACTTAGTCTACAGAGAAGCAGACAGATTTAAAAGATACTTAGAATAGAAACATGTAAAATGTAAAGATTAGTTATGCTGCTGAGCTAATAGATGTAAAGTAATCTTTACATGTAAATGTAAAGATTAGTTATGCTGCTGAGTTAGGGCTGTTTCCCTAATTACAGCCAACCGCGGTTTACAATGCAACACAGTAAACAGGTTGTAAATGCACGTTCTCGGATAAAACGATTGCTCTCGTCACAGATGCATCTACTTGGAGCAGGTGTCTTGTCAGGCTCTCATCACTCCACTCAAAGCCTAGGTTATTCTACGGCTAAGAAAAACCCTATTCCGCCCTCTGTTAGCCATCATCTCTGCTACGAAACTTTGCCAGTCTCAAACAGGCCAGGGTGCTGTTTCTTCTGCGAAGAAATGACTGAATGAAGCGACGAACGAATGCCTCCTGGGTGCTCCCAGTCTCAAGGAAAATCCCACCCCCCAGGCCTTGGGGCCTCGACATCTCCTCCCTTCACACACACCAGACTCGCCCAAGCGCACCTGGGTTACGAACTCCGCGTTGATCTGGGACACAGTAGGAGCCACGATTTTCTTGGGCTGAGCAGGGGCCGCCATGGCAGCACTCTTACTCCGCTCCAGTGGTAAGGAAAAGTCCGTAGAAGGAACGGTAAACCCGATACACTTCCCCTAACAGGCAGCCACGGCTGCCTAATTCCGCGAAGCAAAAGCCAGCCAGCCGGTAGGGCCTCAGCCCTCACAGTCCCACAAGAAACGCGTACAACAGCCCGTATATTTCCCCGGAAGCGGAACTGAACAGGGCCGGAAGTTCGTGTAGGCGTTGGGTCTGAGCTAGAGAAAGCAGGGGCTTCGGCCTCCTCCGCATGCTCCCCCTAGCGGACAGCTGAGAGAACACACCCAGCAGTCTGGACCGGATCTCGGTGATAAATCTCAGGTAGGTGGTGTTGTGAGGGTTTTTCGTGGTAGAGTTAGTTGCAGAGGAAGGGGGGAGACTTGACGAGGGGGTTCTCTCCACCCTAAAAAAAAAAAAAAAAAAAGGCAAAAGCAGTAGTGCAAAAAAAACAAAAACAGCCTGGTATGCAGGGCTCAATTTTAACTGTTTTTAACAGATTCATGGAGGTATAAGTTGACATTCAATGAACTGCATGCACAGATTTAGAGTGTAAAATTTGATCCGTTTTCAGTCATACGTCCGTGAAACCATCACCAAAATCAGGATAATACGCATATTCAACACCCCTCAAAGTTTCCTCATGACTTTTGCAATCCATCCCTGTCGCCCAGATAAAAAGGGGCTAAGAGGTTAGTGACTGAAGAGGCAATGGAGGAAGTAGGTGTAAAATGCATTTTCAGCATAAAGGAAAAAAATATAACAGTAACCTGAGAACAGATAAGACTGACGTTGTTTGTCTTAAGGGCTATCTCTTTTTATGCTAAGTGCAGTGGATATTTTTGATTGCCTATCCTCCCTTCTTTCCAAACACAACTTCAAATTTGACCATTATCCATATCCATACTGTTTTATATTGTATATGTAAAATAGAAAACATAAAAAGATGCATTCCCTTGCTTTCCAGAAGCATGTAGTTTTGTTCAGTGATTCTCAAAGGGTAGTAGTCTCAATATAGCAATAACAGCTAACCTGCATAAGTGCAAATTCCTGGGCCCAACACCAGACATCAGAAACTCTGAGGGTGCAGTTTAGTAATCTATGCTTTTAACAAACCCTCTACGTGATTCCAGTGCACACTAAAGTTTAAAAACCACTGATCAACAGTGACAAGAGAGTTATGAACGAAAAGCAGTGCGAGCATAGGGGATGGAGTGTTTAAGGCAAATCAGAAAAGCTTCCGAATGAAGTTGTAACATTTAAGTTCAAACTCAAAGCATGAGTAGAAACTTGCCAATGTATATGCAAAATATTATGTGTTCCATATTCGTTTAATAATACCATGGCACCATTTTTCTTTTCAGTTCTTTCCCCCTCCTAATGCTAACAGAACTCCAGCAGTTAGCCCTGAAACTTAAGCTCTTCTAACCAGCAACAGAAAGCTCGACAAGATAGGAATTAAATGTTCTTTCCCTGATTGTAAAGAGCAGATATTCTGTACCATCAAACAGACCTTGGGGCGCTTGGCTGGCTCAGTAGGTGGAGCATGGATTCTTGATTTCAGAGCTTTGAGTTTGAGCTTCTGTGTTCACTGTAGAGATTACTAAAACAAACAGTAGTCCTTGAAAATGTTATTTCTAACAAAAAATTCTCATAAGTTACCTAGACTTCGAAATTGTTGCTATGTCTTAAAACTGTAGTTCTAATAGGTTGTCTTCTGTAACATGTAAATTGAAATACTTTCGGGGTGCCTGGCTGGCTCAGCCAGAACATGTGACTCTTGATGTCAGGGTTGTGAGTTCAAGCCCCATGTTGGGATAGAGATTACTTAGAAATAAAAAATAATAATAAATCAGTTCATCATTTCAAAAAAAGTTTTCTGCAAGCCAGTTTTAAACTTTAGGTTTCCCCATAATTATGGAAAACCAAATAAAATCCGGCTCAACTAAATTTAATCTTTGAATAGAGTGTGAAAGTCTGTATCTAATTTAAAATAATAGTAGGTAAACCAGATGGAGACAAGAATATACATGGGAGGAACTAATTCTGTATTTCTTTAGTACAAATCTGGAAAGGGCGGGCAGAGGATAAATGGTTAAGCAGGTAGATCATGTGACATGAAATGGAGTTAACATATCCTTTTGTAGGTGATAAGAAGGTATCAGGGGCTCCTGGCTGGCTCAGTCGGTTAAGCATCCGACTTCAGCTCAGGTCATGATCTCGCGGTTCATTAGTTTGAGCCCCGCATCAGACTCTGTGTAGACAACTGAGTCTGAAGCCTGCTTCAGATTCTGTGTCTCCTTCTCTCTCTGCCCCTCCTCTGCTCAATCTCTCTAAAATAAATAAACATTAAAAAAAAAAAAAAAGAAGCTATCAAAGAAATGTAATAAAAAGGAAAAGTAAAAAATAAGTTGGGGCGCCTGGGTGGTTCAGTCAGATGAGCATCCCACACTCCTTTTGGCTCAGGTCACGATCTTATGGTTCCGGGGTTCAAGCCCCATGCTGTTAGCGTGGAGCCTGCCTGGGGTTCTCTCTCTCCCCCTCTCTCTCAAAATAAATAAATAAACTTAAAAAAAATAGGTAAAAATGGAAATGATTAAATATCCATGTTAGGAAATTTAGTGTAGAAGGTGGATTGGAGTGGGCCCAGGAAAGTGTTTGGCAATTGGTACCTTATGACAGTATTATGTGATTTTCCCTTTTTAAAGAAAAAAAAAAAGTCCAAACTGTATAATTTGAAAGTTTATTTTTAAAATATGCTGAAATTTGAATTCTCCAAGACTCTTAATCACCATCTACTTTCCTTCAACACACACACATTTTGTCCTAAAATTGTTGGCCCTACTGCAGTACAAAACAAGAAACAATAATTCCACTAACTCAGCCAATCAAACTACTTCAGGAAGTAATCATGCTATAGCCTGGAATCACCGAAACAAAAAAAATTTAATAAATCTCCTTAAAGATATTTATAAAGTTTATTTTTTCAGAAAACCAAAGTGACTGATTCAACAATACCAACAGTTCTAGCATGCAGCAAATCATGTAACGTCTAATGTTTAATCTTCTTATGGATGTATACAGTTTACTTTCATTCCTATAAAGTTTCCACAAGAAGCTTGCAATGATAAAGGTAAATAAGTATTTTGTTACAGGTACTTCGAATAGCACTACAGTACATCTTTGACAAAATTTGTACAATATTCCAACTTTCAATATGAAACAGCTTAAAAAGGCATGGGCCAAAAAAAAAGTATAGTAGTTATCACTTAAGTAAAGAAAGTCTAATAATCATACAAGCACAACACTATTAGAACTCTCCCTGTTTGGGTTGGGAAAGGACTAAATGAGACATTTACTTCAAATAAAATTACATAAATAGTTTTGGAAAATCCCAAAATACATAACTTCAGACGAAAACCCCTTGAACCTATATTCTTGGAAAACAGGAACTAGTTATTCCTTGTTTTTATGCAATAGGTATGTTCTTGAAAAGTTTTGTGTACAGCAAATTCTGTAAACCATCACGTTGCCTGCACTGGAGGAACATATCTGAAGGAAATCTAAGATAAATTATTCTTTAAAACATGATTCTCCTGCACATTTATACATCACTGAGCATTCTCTGTACTGTTGTTTTATCTGTGTATTAAATCCAAGGTTCTCAAAATGCATTTGGAAAAGAAGATACCAATGTCCCCTCCTCTCTCCTGCTACACAAAGACAATTTTTAGAGTATGACACAGAGCTTACAAAGAATGTTCATTTATCCATTCTCAATAGAGGGCTTGCCACTATATTTGATAGGACAAAGCCACCTGTTCTTTTAGAAAGCTAATGGTTATTTTCTTTAATTACTAAGAAATCTCATTCTTAAAGATTTTACTAAAAAATGGCAAATATGAAGGACAATTTGTGATTGTGTAAGTCTTCTATAGCTTAAGATTCAATATTTCCCAAATAATGACAGTGCTGTTTAGAAAAAGGATACCCTCAATTCTGCAAGCACTTTATTCCTATATGGGAATAATTACCTTACTTATCAAAACAATTTATGAATTATCAAAATAATGTTCTTTAGCATTAGACTCTTGCAAGAAACATAGACTTAAAAACTAGAACTAGACCTGGGGCATCTGGGTGGCTTAGCTGGTTAAGCCTCTGACTTTGGCTCAGGTCATGATCTCACGGTTCATAGTTTTGAGTCCTGCGTTGGGCTCTGTGCTGACAGCTCAGAGCCTGGAGCCTGCTTCAGATTCTGTGTCTCCATCTCTCTCTCTGCCCCTCCCCCATTCATGCTCTCACTCTCTCTCAAAAATAAATAAACATTAAAAAAAATTAAAAAGAAAATAAACTAGAACTAGACCTAGTCATTGCCATTTGATCAAACTTAACAGATTTACTTAAGTCATATGACCACCCAATGCATGAGGCATTAAAACAAAGTTTTACTAAAGTAAATCAAAGTCTTAGGGAGATGCAGATCTAGAGGGGAGTCTTAAGTCTCTAGCTACTGATGTCAATCACCAAGTAAATAGATGAATTGCATTTATTCCTCTGAAAAGATAACACTGCATACAGAACATCAAAGAGATTATGGCACTTGGACAATATTCCTGATAAGTAAACATGGTAAATGTATACAGGGCCATACTAACTTCTCTCCTACTTTTAAATTTGGGAAAAACAGCAAGCTGGGCAAAAAACCAATTCTTTTTTTTTTTTTAATTTTTTTTTTCAACGTTTATTTATTTTTTGGGACAGAGAGAGACAGAGCATGAATGGGGGAGGGGCAGAGAGAGAGGGAGACACAGAATCAGAGACAGGGTCCAGGCTCTGAGCCATCAGCCCAGAGCCTGACGCGGGGCTCGAACTCACGGAGCGCGAGATCGTGACCTGGCTGAAGTCGGACGCTTAACCGACTGCGCCACCCAGGCGCCCCTAGCGTGTGTTTTTAATTCAGCAACTTAAAAGGAAAATCTTCAAAGCTTTTGCATTCCAGTAGCTGCGTTCTTTGATTCAAGTACCCATGGAGTGGTGACTTTTTTTTTTTTTAATTTTTTTTTCAACGTTTTTATTTATTTTTGGGACAGAGAGAGACAGAGCATGAATGGGGGAGGGGCAGAGAGAGAGGGAGACACAGAATCAGAGACAGGGTCCAGGCTCTGAGCCATCAGCCCAGAGCCTGACACGGGGCTCGAACTCACGGACCGTGAGATCGTGACCTGGCTGAAGTCGGATGCTTAACCGACTGTGCCACCCAGGCGCCCCAAAAAACCAATTCTAATCACTTGTGGAAAAGGAGGTGAAGCTACCAGGATCCTAAGAATAGCTTGCAAAGGACCAATGAAAATAATACTGTGATTTTCTCATCCATCTTCACTTTTACTGCTTTTGTATTTTTTACTTACAAGAGAAAAAAATTTTGCAATGGAATTTGAGCCATAGGTGGACAAAATTATGCTTTCGTGTGAAATATAAAACAAGTAAAATGTAGTGGGGCTATTTGCTGCAGCTAAAAACCAATTTTTACCTCTCAGTCTTAAGGAGATGGCATGCCTTAAGGAATAAGTCCTTTAAAAAAAAAATGAATGAACTGAGTTATTGTACCACATCTTGGGATTTATATTTTCAGTACAGCCAAAGTATATATTAAAATAAAATAAATGCTTACTGTGTGGCATCAAACCATGTTCTTCCCCCTAAATTTAATTTGGCTGTTCCTAAAACATCCTATTCATTTTCTGTGTACTGTATCTTGCTTCCTACTATGCAGAACAAGCAACTGCCTATGAAATCACCCAACCTAGTGAAGGCCTTTTGGTAAAAATACATTTTAAATGATACAAGCTTTAAGACCAAGATTATCAGAGACTACGAATGTGTTACTGGTTCTGTCAGTTACATAACTGACTTTGAGAACCACTTTCTCTTGTGGTTAGTCACTCCTTAAAATGAGTAAGTTGATGTCTCTTCCAATGAGGAGCCTGTCTGAATGTTTTGCCACAGACTGAGCATTCAAATGGCTTCTGCCCTGCGTGAATTAGATAGTGTCTTTCCAGTTTAGATGGAGATCTAAAACTCTTGGAACAAACGCTGCATTGGTAGAGAAGGCCATCATTCCTCTCCGCCCGCCCTGAATAACCACAACAGTGACCGTGATGGCTCTGCTCTGACTGCAAAAGTACACTAGAGAGATAGGGCTGCCTGTTCCTATAGGGGGGACTAAGAATGAAATCCTCCGATTCTGCCTTAACTTTTATTTCTGATATTTGATCTGACTCTGAGGCCTCATATTTTTGGAAACCGGGAGTCTGACATTGTTGGGAAGCATTATAGTTAATATTATCACCTGGATGAATGAGAAGTTGGTTCAAATTTTCAAATTCTACTTGGCAAAGAGATCGTCTATAAGGAATCTTATCAATATGAGTTAATTTGTGTCTTTTTAAATGAGCTGACTGTCTAAAAGATTTCCCACAAACATTACAGCCAAAAGGCCTCTGTCCAGTATGAATTAAATAGTGTCTTTGTAGTTTGGATATAGAAGGGAACACTTTCTCACATTTGTCACAAGGACACATCTTATGTCCAGTATGTAGGTTTTCACTTGGAACTGAAAAACCACACTGAAGCACTTCACAGTTATTAAAGAATTCCTCACCTGATGAACCGTAGATAGATACGTCTTTATTATTCGCTGAATTATCTATAGTTAACATGTTTTCTGTCGTAAGGATACCTTTCAAGTTTTTACCCACATTTTGGTTCTGGAAGTGTTTTTGCCAAGAAAATGGCAAAGTCAATGTTTTCTTCTTTTTATTGCCAACTGTCTTGTATGTTCCATGCTTGCCAAGAGGGCCCATAAATGTTCTCTGGGTTTGTTCAGGGCTCTGCTCACCGGAAATAAGATCACAATTTTCCAAGAAATTGTTTTTAAATACTTTTTTCTCAGATCGAAGATTATCTAATTTCTTACCCCCAGCACGTTTAAGTTTAGCCAAGATTTTTTTAACAACGGTTTTATAGTTGTAGCTTCTTTTGAGCCTGCTTGGCATTTTGCCACCTCTGGCAGGAAAACACTTATGTCCATTGAGAATCTGCTCTGATTCAAAACACTCTTCACACTCTGGACACTGAAAAGGGACGATATAAATAGAGTGGACATCAAGTGGATTATTCTCCTCAGATTCACCTAAATCACCATTTTCCAAACTATCCTGCTTTGCATTTAATTTATTAGGCAGCGGGCATGATTCTGGACTCTTCACCTTTAATGAAAGAGTCTGAAAGGTCTTATTCCTGGTATGGATTTGTTTATGCTTCAGAAGTTTGCTTTGAATCTTAAATCCTTTTTGACAAAAACAACATTGAAAAGGTCTTTCTTCTGAATGCGTGAGTTGATGAATTTTTAAATGAGTTGACTGTCGGAAAGACTTACTGCACAGGACACACTTAAAAGGCCTCTGACCAGTATGAATAAGTGCATGCCTATCAAGTTTTGATTGTGATGGAAACATCTTGCCGCAGATCGTACATGCATGAATATTCTTTCTTTTCTTTGTAGGGCTGTATGCAGGATCAGATTTAGAGCACGGGTGTAATGCCCATCTTTCCTCTGTGGTAAAAGTATGATACATCCCATATACCGGCTTTTCTTGCTTGGCCTCCAGCAATCTTCTGACCTGTTTAACGTCATTCTGGTAGGTTTCATTGTGAAGTTGTTGGTGCTTCACAAACGTCTTCAGATTTTTAAAGTGGCGTTGACAAATGCTACATTTAAAAGGCAGATTATGAGTTAGTTGATGTCTCTCCAGATGAACCAGTTGTCTAAAAGTTTTATGACACACATCACATTCAAATGGCTTTTGACCAGTATGAATGAGATAATGCCTAGCTAATTTTGATGGCGTTTCAAAGTGCTTGAAGCAAATATTGCAAATATATGGCCTGTTTCTAGGTAGTTTGTTGGCTACTACACACTGTTGAATCTTTAGCATTTTTAAATTGTTTTCAGCCATCATATTCTTCAGTGATATACTCTGATGAACTCCATGTTCTTAAACTCCACAGATGTCTAAAAATTAAAAATAAAAATGTATTAATTTAAAATGTATTCATATGAAAAGAAATAATTTGTCTTTTGGCTAAAGATATTAAGGGTAGAGAGGAACCTGGACTTTTTCTATGTTTATAAGTAAGTTAACAACTATTTTAGATGAATACTTTAGAATCATAAAACTAACTTCATACATAGAAATGATGAGTCTTTAAATTAAAGAAATCTCTAGGGACGTCTAGCTGACTCAGGAGATAGAGCATAGGACTCTTGATCTCAGGGTTGTGAGTTCAAGACCCAAGTTGGGTATAGAGTTTACTTAAAAAAAATAAAATTAGGGGCGCCTGGGTGGTTCAGTTGGTTCAGCGTCTGACTTCGACTCAGGTCATAATCTTGCAGTTCCTAAGTTTAAGCCCCACAATGGGCTTAAATGTGCTGTCAGCACAGAGCCCACTTTGGATCCCATCTCCCTCTCTCTGCCCCTCCTCCACCTCACTCATGCTCTCTATCTCTGTCAAAAATAAATAAACATTAAGAGAGGGAAATTAAAAAAATAAATTAAAAAATATATATCTAAAAATCAATATAAAGTTGGATTTCTAATTGAGATAATGCATTAAAAGGGGACTGAAATGAATTTCTTAACATTAAATAGACCTTTTAATTCCAATTTTCCTAGTTCTCTAGTAAGTAGCGTTGTCAGTATTTGTTCTGTCATTAAAAAAAAATTAATCTAGACAGGTAAGAAGTGTAAGAATTACAATATAATACTAAAAATAAGATGTATTTGCATTTAATTATAGCATATCATGGGCACAATCTGAGAAGGCAATGTTTCAGATACCAAAGTTGGATTTCTTAGCCACCTCATTAACAGTATTTATTATTATTTTTTTTATTTTTATATAGAGAGAGTGTGAACGGGGCAAAGGGGCAGAGGGAGAGAGAGACAGAATCCCAAGTAGGCTCCATGCTCAGCTCAGAGCCTGATGCAGGGCTTAATCCCATGACCCTGGGATCAACGCCTGAGCCTAAATGGAGTCAGCTGCTCAACTGACTGAGTCATCCAGGCGCCCATAACAGTATTTACTTTTAATTACTTCTTTGGACCAACAAAGACAACATGGACAGCTGGGAGAAAATGGCCCAGATAACTGGGGTTCTAGTCCTAGATTTGTCACCATATGATCTCAGTGGCAGAAAGAAAGAAATACAGATTCTTCATCTCTAAAATGGGGAAAATGCCTCCTGGCCTGCCTACCATATCAAGTTGTTGTGAGAATCATGGAGATAATGCATCTGAATGTGCTGGAAAACTGTGAAGCAATACACAAATGTAAGGTATTACTTAGCTCAACACTAATCAAATTTTAAAGCTTTATCCTTGTCTGCATAATTTTTTAGGGTTTCTACCTAAGAAATAAATACATTAACTAAATTTGTAGTTATGTCTTCTTTGCATTTTGTTGTTCAGCTCTCAAAAGACATGTACAAAAGCAATGAGGCAAAATGGCTACTTCTGTATTTATCAATGGCTAAGTAATTTGAAAGTTGAGTGTGGTTCACTTTTCAGACAATATAATAAAAGGATCATTTTGGTCTTGAAGTTAATATGAAGATAAAAATGCTTTCTCCAATATCCCCCTGGAGGACACATGCAAAAGTTTACCAGGTATTTTCACAAAAACCTATCTTCCCTTTTATCAGAGACCAATTTTCTTCTAATCCTTTTACTACCTTAAATAAGGGGATCAGAGATTTAAAAAAAAAAACAAAAAACAAAAAACAAAAAACTCCTCTAGCTTTCTCATCTAATGTATTTTCTCCTTGAGATCAGAAAGTTGATCAATCTACCAGAAACTCCGCGTTCTTCTTTCTGTCAGCTGATCTGGCGAATATTCAACATATATGCTATTTGCTATTAACTGCCTTCTCCTAGAAGACACCTTAAACACAAAGGCACAAACACACCCACTGTGGTTCTATTCAGCAATGTGAATTAGAAACATGGAAAAATTCATTTACTGAGCAAGTATCTTCTACCAGTTGCTTTATCTCTGTTTTTCAAAGTGTACATCGCTACCCGCTAATGGATTATGAAATCAATATAGTGGGTTATGATCAGCAATTTTGTTTAATAAAAAGTAGAATATATCAGATTGTATTACAAATAAAGATAAATACGGTTTTGTGAAACTTCTGTATAAAGATTAAGAAAGTTTGTGAAAGCTGTTCCTGGTATTATCTCTTCAGACAACACTAGACAGAGGAATCCACAACAAATCAATTACTTTATTCAAAGTAACCAAATAATCTATTAGGTAAGATTGAGGCCCACAGGATGAGACAGGATTACTAAGGAAAGCAACAGTATCTGATTTTCTTCACTTGGCCCATATAACCTCCAAATTTGTCAAAACATTTAATTAGAGGCCAAATGGAATATGCCACACTAGTCTATGCAAAATAAAAGACTCTGACTACAAGCCACTATATTAATTTACAAAATGTACTATATAACGCAGATATCCATGTTAGCGACAATCATCTGTTGGTGCTATTAATATGCATTTTCACTACACGGAGTTACTGGTGAACAACCTCCAAATCCCTAAACATGCTAACACAGCAACAGTTTGGGGTATTAAAATTAAGTCATGAATCCAGTAAATTGCCAAGAACTTGGCAATTTATTTCATTCCTGTCGAGCTATCAGGTGTCAAGGTGGTCAATTAGGACAATGAGCCAAAATGAAAGTAATAATCAAGCCTTTATTCACTTACTGCCACAGTGCAAGCAAAAGGCAAAACAAGTACTGGTTCCCCAGGGTGCATTAAACAGACCTACACTAGGTGAGGATCAGATGGATGCAGTGCACACAATCATCTCTCTGCAGAGGAGGCCAGAACAAAAAGGCTTCTGCCTCCTCATGGATCTGTGGGCCAGGGGAAGATGAAGGAAGGGAAGACAAAGGAGTGGAAAGGTCCTGAGTCAAAATGGAGAAAAGTACCTCAAGCAAGTCCCTCCCCCTACCTACCCAAAGAGGTCTTGGTGGGCACGGAGGCACCTGGGAAATACTTCAGCCAAGATCTTCAGAATGGAGGTACCTGAGCCAACAATGCAATCTAGTATAAGCCTGGGTAGCAGGAGGGAAGGAATGAGTCCTTGACTGCAACTCCCCCCAGAAACTGGCCATGCACAAGTCTGGTGTGAAGAGGGCAGTTTCCTCCAGAAGGCCAGCCAGCCAAAACCATGCAATTGTCTACAGTCGGGCCTGAAAGATCACACAAAGGATTCTGGCCTACAGCCGACCTCCTCGATTCTTACTGTATAGTTTTCCTCTTTAATAGTTTCCATGGAATACTCTTGAAAAAATCCCACACTTGCACCACATACAACAACCACCACCGATTCTAACAGGGTTCCTATGCCAGAAAGTGTCTATGGCTGATCACCTACCACTAGCACTAAAACTGTATTCTGTTGCCTTCACACCATGTGGGAAAGCACTTACTGGGAGCCCTGTACTGTTGGAACCATTGATGGCAACCAGTGATCTCATCTGCTATTTATAAGCCATAGCTTCGGGATCCCCAATGCTCCAAGTGCAGTACCCTGTGTACTTACACAGGGTGCATATTAATTTGATAAAGCTCCAAATCCCACTTCAACTGATTCTCTGTGCTCTCAATTGATATTTTTGTTGTTGGTAACCCCAAAGAAGAAACAAACAAACAAACAAACAAAACCAAGCCAACACCATGTTCTTTTTTCTATGTTAAATTGAAAATTAAAAAAAAGTAAACCTCAGAGGTTCAACCTGAAGATTATTATAACAACTGCCAAGACAACACTCTGTTGGAAGACTGTAAAAACCGATTTAAAAAATTCCAAGACGCTTCCCGACTGAAAGCCTGTTGGTTTTTTACCCTTACCTAACACCATCAAAGCGAAATAAGGATCTCACAAAAAGCAAGTGAACAAAAAAAGACCGGAGAGAAACTTGGATCACTTCCAGCTGGGGAATAATCTCTGGCGACATTGATCACAACATTTCCTCCTTTGTGGCCGCTTCTGCCCCACTTCCCCTGGCCCACTCTCGTGGCCTTGAACCCTCACCTCTCGTCCTCGAGGGGCTGAAATGGACAGAGGACCCTGACATCTGGCCGTCGCCCTAATCGTCCACAACCAATAAGCACCTAGGGGGTCCAGCCGAATCCAGAGACTGCAAAATCCCACACTAGGAAAGGAAGGGTGAAAACTGCTTTGGCCGCAGCCAGGGGAAAAATGCCACAGGCGACTCGACCCACAGCAGGGGAAAAGCATCCTTTCTGCGCCTTCCTCTAGGAGACAGACTGCCGTCCCCCATGAGACGCAGTCGGGAGGCGGGGAAGTGGAAAAGGAAAGGGGGCTGAGGTCTTGGCGCCCCCGCTATGGGTCCCCGGACACCTTGGAGGGATCGAGGCAGGCCCGACCCTTCCCGAGGATCGCTCCACCTCACACACGGACTCCTCAAATCCTCCTCACGCACCTGGAGCTGGCACGGACCGGGTAGGCGCGCATCGCAGGGCCCAGACGCCGCGAAGGCTACGGGCGCACGTCCGCAGGGCTGGCGCGGCGACGGGCTGAGCGCGCAGGCGCGGCACTCGGGAGCTCCCAGGGACGCGGTCCGGCTGGAAACCGGCTCCCCCCACCCCAGGGCCGCCCTTCCTTAGGCGTGGTCTGCCAGCTGGCTGGGTGGTGGTGGGTGGGGGCTCCAGAGGTGGGTCCCTACCCCCAGCGCCGCCCACCCCGCACTGCACTCGCGGGCGGAAGAGAATAGACAAGTGGAGAAGGGCGTTTGTTGAGATGGCTCTGACAATTCGAGGAGATGGATGTAAAGTGCCCAACATAGTGCCTAGAGCGTAGTAAGCCCTTAAATAGCTTATCATGTATTACTTTTTATATTAAATACAACTTTATAAAGTGATAGGATCTCATTTTAAAAATGAGCAAAATGAGGCTGAGGCGATAAGAAACACACCATGTCACACAGCTGATTGATGGTAGAAATGGAATTTGAACACAGGTAGGCTAGTACTAGACCTGCACTTTTAATTCACTACTTCTTCCCAAATTATAGATCATCTCTGTATTGTATGTGGACACAAGTAAGGGTTAAATATTGTAGTTAAGTTACAGACTTGGGTGGCACATTATTATTGAATAAGATGTTTAAGATGTGAATAAGATCTACCCGAAATTTTAAGTACAAAAGACATTGGAAAATTATTGTGGATTTTTGCAGGTTCAGACTGTAACTGTCTCAGCTTGAGAGTTGAGGTCATGAGGACAGGTAACAAGCACATTTTCTTTCAACTGTAAGTAACTTCCTGCATTACTTTTCAAGGACCACTGACAACAAAAATGGTTATTTCTAATGTCGATATACGTTCCTCTATTTAAAAAGGAAAAAGTTGGGCCAGTGAAAAGTAAGTGTCTATTTTCCGTGTGGTAACATGAGGAAAGGGCTAATAGAAAATAAGCTTTTGCTTTTTATATAGCAACCTTGGAGGAGTCACATTTGGAAAAGGTTGAAGCCCTTACTTTCAACAGAAGCAGAGACAGAGAGAGGAGGGGAAAACCTTTAGGTGTCCTAAATACTAACCCCAGTATGGGGACTCTGTGTGTTCAGATAACCCTTGGGGACTTGCTCCATTCTGCAGCTTCTCCTGGAAGTTCAGCTGACTAAACCATGCAAACAATTGCATCCATCACCAGCCACATAAATCCTCAGGAAAGATATGCAGACTGTGAGAGAATATTACATGAGATTTGGAACCAATGGAGGGTGCATTGCCTGCAAAATACATAGGCCTTTGCACCAAGAGCCTGAATTTGGAGTGTGGAACACAGATGAGACATGAATAAGCAATTCTCCAAGGCCACATACCCTACATCATAACTTTCCCCCATTCACTCTGAAAGCCATCTCAGGAGCCTTCTGGGGGAAAAGGAGAAGCTATCACAAATAGGTCATCAGAAAGATTTCACTGATTAGGTAAGATTTGATTGGGGACTCAGCAATGGGTACAATATGGATAAACAGAAACTATAAGGGCAGGATAGAACATTGTAGGGAGGGATGGTAGTAGTGACAAGGAAAAATGGCAAGACATACCTTTGAGTTAGTATCTTACCTCTGCAACTCACTAGTATATGTCCTCAAAAGTTACTTAACCTTGGGGCACCGGGGTGGCTCAGTTGGTTGAGCATCTGACTTTGGCTCAGGTCATGATCTCAGGGTCCGTGGGTTCGAGCCCCACGTTAGGCTCACTGCTGTCAGCACAGAGCCTACTTCAGATCCTCTGTCCCCTCTCTCTCTGCCCTTCTGCTCGCACTCTCACTCTGAAAAATAAATAAAAAACATTTTTTAAAAAAGTTATTTAACCTTTCTGAATCTCAGTTCCCTCATCTGTAAAATGGGGATATAATTAATCATTCACTGGCATATGAATGAATCAATCAACCAATGACATATCCTGTACAAAGTGCGAAAGATTCATTTCTTAGTATATGAAGTCCTTGACGTCAATGTAGTTTTCAGCTTAGAACAACGTACAAGGAAGTACAATGTGATAAGAGAAGATACGTAGAGGGCAGGAGGGAGGAGGAGGAATGTCTAAAGCTATCTGGGGCTTCAGGTGGAGACTGTCTTTGAGCTGAGGCTTTTTTTGTTTTTATTTATTTTTTAATGTTTATTTATTTTTGAGACAGAGAGAGAGACAGAGTGTGAGCAGGGAAGAGGCAGAGAGAGAGGGAAACACAGAATCTGAAGCAGGCTCCAAGCTCTGAGCTGTCAGCACGGAGCCCCACATGGGGATCTCTAACTCACCCAACTGCGAGATCAAGACCTGAGCTGAAGTAGGGACACTTAACCAAATGAGCCACCCAGACTCTCCTGGATTCTACAAACTTTTAATTAATCATTGTCTACATTCCAGCTGTCATTCCTCTATTTCAGGGAATATGAAAACCCTTTTTTTTCTGCATTACCCCCAAATGTCTTTATTTCTTGTGGTACGTGACACTCACTGAGGGTCCTAAGAGGCAGTCCCCAGTTCAGATCTATGAGAGACCCTGACTCAGTGGAAGTAGCAGTCATAGAAGGAATCTTTCATCAGCCCTGTACTGAGTTGCATTGTGTCCCCCCAAAAAGATGTGTTCAAGTCCTAAGCCCAAGAACCTGAAAATGTGACTTTATTTGGAAATAGGGTCTTTGCAGATAGAATTAAGGATTTTGATAGTAAGTGATCCTTGGTTTGAGGTAAGCCCTAAATCCAATGATGATTTGCCTTATAAGAAGAGGAGGGGCACCTGGGTGGCTCAGTCGGTTGAGTGTCCAGCTTCAGCTCAGGTCAGGATCTCACGGTTCATGAGTTCAAGCCCCACATCCATCTCCCTGGCGCTGTCAGCATAGAGCCCGCTTCAGATCCTCTGTCCCTCTCTGCCCATCTCCCACTTGCGCTTTCTCAAAAATAAATAAAACATTTTAAAAAAGAAAAAAGAAAAGGACACAGAGACACACACAGACACGCAGAGGAGAAGGCCATGTGAATAATGAGGTTTTGGGGTAATAGTGGGTGGGGTTCATGGGGTCCAGAGCTGACGGCCAAGAAAGAATTCTTGAAGATGTCTTTGGTGCAAAAAGATGACTTTATTAAGGCATGGGGACAGGACCCATGGGGACAAAGAACTGCCCTGGAATCCTGTGGAGAGACTGGTTATATATTTGGGAGTTGGGGGAGGTAAAGTCCAGGGGAAGTTTCTAGTGAGATTTTCATATGCTAAAGAAGACTCCCAGGATAGTGGAGGACTAGCTATTGTCAAGCTAAGGTGGTTTTGCACCTAGCAAAGCATTAGCATTGAGACAGTAGGGAGTTCCTGGAGAAAGTTTTACTCTGCCAGCCTCAAGTATTTGTCAATGGGCTGCAGGTTGTAAGGAAATTTAGTTCTATCTGCCATTTCCTTCTGCCTGTGTTTCCCACATCACTATGGAGGGGTGATGTTGGGGCTCTAGGAAACTGAGCTTGATAAGACTGCCTTTTTCTTGTAATTTGCTAAGATTTTTGTAAACTGATGGAGACTCAGGTCCTTTAGTTTTTCCCCTTTCCTTTGATCTGGGGTAGCCAGGAGAACCAGAGGAATATCACACATATCCCACCTGGGGGTGGGAGTGGGGTGTTGGGGGGGGTGGTTTAAGGCCTGTCAGCTTGCCTTATGCTCCCTTATCATGGAGACAAGAAGCTGGAGTGACACAGTCAGAGGCCAAGGAGCCTCCAGGCTACTACAAGCTAGGAGGGGCAAAGAAGCATTCACCCCCAGATCCCCAGAGGGACCTTGGACCTGCTGAAACCTTGATTTTAGTCTTCTAGCCTGCAGAACATGAGAATAGATTTCTGTTGTAAACCATGCATTTTGTGGCCCTTTGTTACGGCCATATGAATGATGAGGCTTTTGGGGTGATCGTGGAGTTCATGGGGCCTGGAGCCCTGAAAACTGATGTAAGTCCAAATATTTTTATTTATTCCCTTGACATTTATTGAGCACACTTATTGAGCACTCTGCCAGGCAGAGAAACAAGACAGGCAAAGTCCTCGCTCTTACGCACAGCCTACATTCTGATAGTGATGGTGATGGGAAAGATAGGAAATAAAGAAACAATAAATAAACAAGATAATTTCTGATGGATAAAAGGATTATTGGGACAAAGAGAAAATTGAGGTATCTGAGTGATGAGGGAGTGTGGGGCAAGCTGAGGGCAAAATACAGGCTGGCACCCCACCCCCACCCCGGGTGGAATATGTATGATATTCCTCGGACACCCCTGGCTACCCAAGAACAAAGGAAAGGAGTTTAAGTGCTTGCCATGATGATGTGGGAAACTAAGGCAAATGGAAAGTTAAATTCCCTTACTGCCTACAGCCCATTGACAAGTCCTTGAGTATGGCAGAGTGACCTCCCTCTAGGAGCTCAGCTGCCTCAATGATGACACTTTGCTAGGGGCAAAAGAGAACCTTAGCTTAACATTATCCCAACCTTGAGGATCCTGTAAGTCTACTCCCTTTATCTCAACTGCCCCAAGATATATGCTGACACTCATACTCCATGCTTATGCCCCCCCCCCGCGGAGGGGGGGGGGGGGGGGGGGGGGTGGGGGGGGTTTTGTTAGACAGTAAAAAAGGGTGTTTCCCTACCAACAGCTAGCCCCTCAATGTCCTGAAAACCTTGCTTCCAAAATACTTTAGAGACTTACTCTATCCCTGATCCCCTTCCAACCTGAGGGTATATAGTGAATTACCTGTCACAACCCCAGTGCAGCTCTTCCTGTCCCAATGCTGTAATAAAATCACCTTTTTGCACCAAAGACCTCTTCAAGAATTCTTTCTTGGCCATTGGCTCCGGACTCCCCCATCACCCCAAAACTACATCATGAGGACTTCTTTAGATTAAGTAGTCAAGGAAGTTCTCTGAGGATGATGAGGGAGCCAAAGGCAAGCTGAGACCAAGGCAGAAGCTAACACCCCACAACTTCCCCTCCCCAGGTGGGATATGTGTGATATTCCTCAGGCACTCCTGGCTGCCCAAGAACAAAGGAAAGGGAAAAACAA